CTACCTGTGTTGGTCCAAACTCAGGGGAGTGTATAGTGGCCAAATCTCTGCTTCAGTGATGCAGGCATTGTGTGGAGTTCAGTTTTGTGTCCCCTCCCCCTGATACTGAACAAGAAAGCTGTGACAATGGGGACTTAGGGAAGGGGCCAGGCCCCAGCCTATTCTAATTAGTGGTTATTTGCTGTTGTCAAGGCCTGAGGTCAAGGTCTAAATTCATAACCTGGCTACCTGAGCCTTGGGGAACTTGATTCTGTTGCTCTTGAAACAGCTGGAGCAGTAAGGAAAATAGCCGCTATGCGGGGAGAACTGAGCTCTGAAAGGACAGAGGCTGGGGCTTGGGGGCTTCTGGCTCTGGGTCACCTGAGAAACCGGACCGAAGTGAGCATAGGAGAGCTCAGGTGTGTCGGCTCTCGAAAGGCTCCTTAGACTATCTAGATGCTAAACTTTGGACCTTGAGAGCTGGTCCTGTTTGGTGGCAGATTCCTTGTGCTTCTGATCTGATTTGACAGAGTTCTTTCACCATCCTGTCATTCCCCCAAATCCCCGCGCCCTGTCAGCGCCCCACTTTGATGACAGAGCAGAGAACAAGCCCAGCTCATCATGGGCGTTTGCTGCCAGCCTCTCTCGAGTCCTTAGAGCCGAGTTATTCTCTCCTCTTACTCCAGTTGAGCCTGAGCAGTGAAAACAGTGGGAGGGGGTTGCTTCTGCCTGCGAAGCATCAGTGTAATTTGAGAAGCAGGGCCTCCCCTCCCCTCTGGTGTGCAGACCTTGCTCCTTGCCTGGCAGTGGGGTGAGGTGGGAGTTCTCAGCATTTGGGAAGCTGGGAGAATCTCATGTTACCTTTGGCTACTTCAGGCCAGGTCAGATTTTTCCTCACTACTCTTGGTCCCAGTAGGCAAAGTAGAAAAGCGGACCTCAGACTGAGTGTGTCAACTTGGGTTCCTGTTTCTCAGATAATAAGAAGCACACCTTTTCCCTTGCTACAGCGTGGCCACTGGGGCCCAGGCACACCGCAGTACCAGCCTAACGCCATGCTTTGGGAAGGGCTGGCAGAGCCTACTCCCCCACCAGCCCATTGTGAATTTCCCTCGGAAAGTGTAAAGATCTTCCACCAAGTTCCTGAGCTTTGGCTCTTATGTCATGTGGGAAAAGCTGAGGCACAATGAGAGAAAATAGAGACTTGGTCCCTAACTCTGGGCCCCCCTGCTGGGGCGGGGTGAGGGGAACAGCCTTGACCCTTGGATAAGTTCAGATGAAGGCTACAGAGAGCAGGCTAGCCCGAAGGTCATGTCCTCACCACAGGGCTGGCCTGTGCAGGCAGGCGCTTCCTTCAGGCAGCACGTAATTACAGAATGGCTTATTTTCCTCTGCTGTGCCATCTTTAATAGCCAGTCTGGAGTTGGTGCCCCTGGCCAGACACAACATGCGGGGGCAGATGCATGCAGACAGGTCTGCAGGCGCCCTGCCCTGGGAGCATCTGCCACTCTCTGGCCCTACCTCCCACACCTGGAGAGGAGCAGAGTGCAGCTTCTAGGTACCTGGGGGCAGAGAGGGGATGATGGCTGGGTGAGATGATGAGGTCCTCAGCTCAGGGCTACCTGGAATGAGGCAACAGGTGTCAGGACAGCCACTGTGCAGCCCACGGGAATCAATGAGTGTCCACGGTCTATAGGCCTGGCTACCTCCCTGGCTCTCTGGCTGCTCCTCCTTAGCCTTTTCTCTGCCTTTCTGAGCGTGGTCCTCATTCCAGGTGTAGCAGCTTGCCAGGTAATCCTGCAGCCCGGCCCTTCCCGTCTTTCTCCCTCCAGTTCCCATCTCTTGGGTGAGCAGCCTTCCCCCTCTGTAGGCCAACTCCTCTGCCTCCAGCATGTTTGCTCACTTCATCATTTCTGGAGGCCTGGCCCGGGCACGTCCATCCTGGGAACACTCACATCCTGTGCTGTGGATGCGATGAAGCTTGGAGGGCCAAGCCTGCGGGAGAAGGGGCAGTGGTGTGGGGGAGGCGCTGGGGGTCCCGGGCTCCTCACCCCACCTACGGGCATCCACTGTGCCTCTTCTTCTTCCCTGGGTGGGAGGAACAGGCATCAATCATCTGGCCCAGCTCCCTAGACAGAGGCCTGTGGTATCTTTTTTTTTTTTTTAAGACTAGTCAAGTGCAGTAATAAGGAGGGGGGAAAGTAGTAGAACAAGGAGTTCAATCTGTAACTGACTGTGAACAATCATGTCAGTTTTCTTCCTGTTTATCTTCCTCTCTTATAACCCTCCCTGAAGCTTTCTTTCCTTCCATGTCAGGAACTCAAGGCAGGGTACAAACCTTCGTGTTATCTGGCATTCATTTGTCCTGGACTATGGCCTCCCAGGGAGGCCCCAGGATCCTTGCTAAAGGGAGGTGGGAGCTTTGGAGTACAGTATTTGCACCCCATGCTCGGTGCAGGCCCCTGCCTGGAGGGCATTTCTTCCTGAGCTGAAATAACCAGTTTATCCCCTCTGAGGAGAAGCAGCTCTTATCTTCGTAATCCCCCAAAGCCACTGTGGAGAGCGAGGATTAGGTGCCGTTTAGGCGTAGCTGCTGGGAAGTAGCGGGCGGGCCCACTCTGGGAGCTGGTCCGCATCCCCACCGGAGGAAGCTGGCAACAGCAGGCCACACTGGGGGCTCCACTCAGGCACATCCCACCATGCCAGGCGGCAGGGGGTGGCCCCCCTCAGGCCGTGGGGGTGTGAGTCATGGGATGTGTGTCCTGCAAAGGCCAAGGCTAAGTTGCCGAGGAGGGGCGTGCGTGTAGAGGCAGGGAGGGAAGAGGAGTCCAGCACGTCAGGGGCACAGCCCATGCAGGACCTTGGGGAGGTGGAGCTGTGGGCCATGGGAGTGGGAGGGGAGAGCACACGGCCCTTTGTCAGGACTCCTCAGGAGAGAACCCCAGTCTCTTTCTTGGTGCCTGGGGTCTAGGGATCCACTCCTCTTGCTCAGGAGCTTTTCCTGATGGAAGCTCACACTGATGCTCTTCAGATGCCCCGGGGAGAGACCCACTCCTCCTTCAGGCACTGTCTGGCCGGGGCCATGCTTCGTCCCAGGGCCCCAGGGCCCCAGGGCCCCAGGGCCGGGGAAATGTGCATCAGATTAGCCTGGGATCTGTTTCACTCCAAAAGTGTTGATCCTGTAGGTTTGGGATGGGGTCTATTTTTAAAAGCTCCAGTTGTTTCTGCTACAGGTTTTGGGTTGACAATTCCAGGGTAAGGTGAATCCCTGATTAAGCTGGTGAATGCCTCAGCTGTGGCGTTCCTGTTGCTGCTTCATTGGGGGATCAGTGAAGCTCCTTGCGCATTCCTTCATGCATTCATTCATTCAGCAAGCAGTCACTGAGCTTGTGTGTGCCAGGCGCTGTCTTAGCGTTTGGATGGGGGGCGCGGTGTGGAGAGAGGAGAGTTCAGTACCTGTTTTCAAGGAATGTGCAGTCTAGCGGGAGAGCCAGACATGTAAATCTATGATTACGATTCCGTAACTTGAGGCTGTGAGCCAGGTTGCCCAGGCTGCATCGGAATAAAAACCTCCCCCTGAAGGGCAGCGCTGGGTTTCGGGAAAATGTCCCAGAGGAGGTGGTGTTTGAGCTGAGTCTTGAAGGAGAAGTGAGAGTTGTGTGGGGTGGGGCGTGTGTTCTTGGCTAGGAAATATAACAAGGTGTTTTAACGTGACCTGCAGGAGCTTTGCATGCAGAAGGGCTAGCGGGGAAGGAGGCCGGAGAGGTTGGTGGGCCCCAATGGGCCTTCCAGAGCACACACAGGAGTCTGGACTTGATTTTGAAGGTAAAGGTGTCAGTGGGTCAGGCGTGCGCTTTTTCTGGCTGCAGTGTTGCAGTGGGTTTGGAAAAGGTAGAGACTAGGGGGTGGAGTCAGGGTGAGCATAGGGCCAGAGTCTGGATTATTTCAGAGGCTACTGGGTGAGATGGTAACTGTGGGAGGAGAGGTGACTCTGTCACCGAGGACCAGGTGGTGAGTCCAGGCTTTGGGGGCATATTGACTCTTGGTCCCTGGGAAGCAGCTGTGAAACTGTTCAGGAGACAGGTCTATATTCGGTGTAGTGGTCAGACTCGAGGTAGAACTGAGGAATTCTAAGCTTATTGGTGGTGGGTGAATCCTTGACTGTGGATGAGACCTCGGCAACGTTCAAAACTTGGCAAGATATCCTAGGACGGGCTGTGGGGTAGACGGAGAGAAAGAGCAGCCAGAGCCGGAGAAGGAGAAAGCGGGAGAGAATCCCAGAAACAGCGAGTCGCAGCAAGGGGACGCTGCCAGGGGGTCGCCTAAGGTAATGTGGTCGGTCCCTGTGTTGTTGGGACCGCCCCATCCACGCAACACTCCACCATCCTTGGTGAGATGAGGATGTGGTATAGCTGCCACATGGTCCTGCCCTGGGAACAGCTGTCTTCTTTCTGACGTATGTCTTTCTAAATATTTCAGTGTTACGATATCCTCTCTTTCACGAAATGGTGGTAATAGAAGATGGCAGGTTTTTTTTCTTAATGTCTTTCCTAGAACAATGAAAAACTAGCATCTCTGTGTTAGTTTCCTTCTCCCCATTAACCCCCCCATATATATATATATATATATATATATATATAGTTTTTTTTTTTTTTTCTTTCTCGGGTCCACACATAACCTAAAAGACTGGCCACTGAGATACATTGGGAGGTCGGTGTGAATAGGGCAGGGAGCCCGCCATGGCAGTGGGCTGAGAGCTGAGTGGAAGGGAAATTGGGGAACACTGACTATAGGAAGAGGTAGTTTTTGTTTTGTTTTTTTTTAACTTGGCCATGCACTTGATCGATTTGTAATTTGGTGGCAATTTGGATGTGGTTATACCCTGAGCAGCAAGAGCTGGTAGAGGACCCAGGAGGGAAGAAGGGCCTGGGGAGGGGCTGGGTCCAGCCTGTGATGGACAGCCCTGTCTTGGCAGTGACCTGGGGCCTCCAGGGAGCTGCTGAGCACCTCCTGCTTACCTGCAGGCCGAGCCCCCCGTGGCCCTGGGCCTGTCCACCAGGAAGGCCCTCAGCATCCTGAAGGAGCAGCTGGAGGCGGTGCTGGAAGGACGCCTCAAAGAGCAGAAGAAGCGTCTGACGTGGAAGGTGAAGCTTCTGTGTGGGGCAGCCAGGGCCTAGCTGATGACAGAGACATGTGGGAGGCCCCTCCTCAGGGCTCTGACATGCCCTGTCAGCCTGGGTGGCGTAACCCAACTGAGACATTGTGAAAAGTCAAAAAGAAGTTGGGTTTTCCTTTTAGAGTATGTCCTGACTCCACTCACTTCGGGAGCCCAACAGGCTGGACCCCAGCCAGGGTCAAAGGGAGGGGACCCAGGTAGCCACAGGGGCTGGTGGTGGGGACAACCAGATTCCAGTGGGCTGGGACTCTCACTCCCCGCTCCCCATCCCTCCCCAGGAGGTGTGGAGAAGCAGCTTCCTGCACCACAGTAATCGCTGCTCCTGTTTCCACTGGCCCGGGGCCTCGCTCATGCTGCTGGCCGTGCTGCTGCTGCTGGGCTGCCACGGGGGCCAGCCGGCTGGGAGGTAAGCGGCCCCCAGCTGCTCCCCAGCCTCTCCAGCCACCCCCATCCTGCCTACAAGGCTTGGGAAGGGCTGCTGCTTGGGAAGGGCTGCTGCCTACTGCTCCCACAGTAGGCTCCTGGGTGGTGTAAGACTCTCCTCAGTTTCTTGACTGGGGCCAGAGGCCACTCAGCTCTCAGAATGAGGCTGTCTTTTTAGAAGGGACTGGTATAGGAAGGCAGGGGGTCTTGGGCCCTGCAGGCTGGCTGGGTGGAGAGCCCCTCTCCCCATTAGTACACCCTCTTGCCGCCAGCTTTGGGGTGGAGCTGGTGAATGCCTCTGCGTTGTTCCTCTTGCTGCTTCTCAACCTCGTCCTCATCGGGCGGCAAGATCGGCTCAAGCGACGGGAGGTCGAGCGGAGGCTCCGAGGGATCATTGACCAAATCCAAGGTGAGGCCAAGGGCAGGCTGGGGGTGGGGGGAGGAAAGATGCCTTGTGCATGTCAGAGCCCTGAGGGTTCCCCGGCACTTGTCACTAGAAGAGTAAGATGGATGCCGCCTGCACCACCCAGGGCAGTGAGAGCCGTGGACAGCCGCAGGCACCCAGGCACAGGGCTGGGCAGGCAGGAAGGCTGATGGCATGTGGGCTCACGGGCTGGCTCATGTGGGGAGACCAACAGAGAAGACCCACTGTCCTGGCAGGAGGACAGTACGTCTTGCCTGGTGTGCTATGCAGGGGGAGGTGGGGAGGTGATCCGAGGAGTCTGAGGTGCCTGCAGGAACTGGGCTGAGGCAAGGGGCCAGGAACCCAAGATGGAGCAGGCCAGTTCCAGAGGGGAAGGGAATCACTCAGAGTCAGATTTCTGGTCATCTTTCCATTCAGCCTGTGTTTATGAAGACGGGCTATGGATTAAAGGTAATTTAGGCTCTTTTGAGAGACTGGCTCCTGCTTTCCAGGGGTCGGTGGTGTTGTGAGAGAAGCAGCCTCTGCTCATGAGACCTTTCTCTAGCAGTGCTGGGCTGTAGACATTGAGATGCTACATGAGAGTCTGTTCATTTATTCTGAAATGGTTAATTGCAACCATGTGCCAGGCACGGAGAGTGAAGCAGTGACCGAGAAAGATGGGCTGTGCCCTCTGGAGCTTAGTCTCTTGCTTAGGAACCATCAGTGGCTCCCTCTTGCTCGTAGAAGTTATCCACATGCCAGCGTGGCTTCCCAGAATCTCTGCCGCAGGCTCCGACCTTCTTCTGAGCCACTTCTCTTACTCCTCATTCTCATGTGCACTGACCTTCCTCTGTGCCTTTGGCCCCCTGCTCTCCGCCTGGGAAGCTTCTCCGTCACTTATTTCCAGCTGACAAAGTCTCACCCATCCCAAATGCTTCCTCTCCCAGGACGCCGTCTCTGATGGCCCCAGGAGATGGGTTTGCTCCCTCTTCTTACTCTGTCAGCACTGAGAGCTCTGTTGACACCCTAGCGTGCATTTGGAGTTATCTGCCTGTGCGTCTCATCTCCCCCACCAAGTGGTAGCTCCTTGAGGGCAGGGACTGTGTCGTCTCCACCTTGTACCTTGCCACAGGCCCTCAGCAATGTCTGTGAAATGATTTTGAAAGGGATGTGGGTACAGAGAATAGGAGCTTCAGGTGCTGAGAGGAGGTGGAAGTGCCCAGGCTGGGGTGGCTGGGCAAGACCTTCTCAGGGAGGTGGCTTGGGTGAGGGGAGGAGTTGGAACCAGCTGGAGCGGGGTTGATGCAGATCTTCCGGGAGAGGAAGCTGAGCAGGCAGCTGGGTCTGCCTGGGGTGCAGATTATGGGTGAGAAGGTTGTTTCCCTTTTCCTATTCTCATCAGATGCCCTTAGGGATGGCAAGGAGATCAAGTGGCCGAGCGCCATGTATCCAGACCTCCACATGCCCTTTGCACCGTCCTGGTCCCTGCACTGGGCCTACCGAGATGGACACCTGGTCAACCTGCCAGTTAGCCTGCTGGTAGAAGGAGACATCATAGCTCTGAGGCCTGGCCAGGAATCATTTGCTTCTCTGAGGGGGATCAAGGTAGCCTGGGGCTTGACTCCTTCCCTGGAGATGCTGTGGGAGCGTCCACAGGCAGCAGTGGGGGAGGGGGTCTCCGAGCTTCATCCTGAAGCTTCCTGGCCAGCTCACAGGCTTCTTGGCAGACACTCTTGGAGCAGAGCTGCTACATCATTTTTCATGCTAAGAGTCCAGTGCTGCAGGCCCCACCGCAGTGGACTCTGGCTAACTGATGGGTCCTAACCCCAGGAGATGTCTCCACTTAGTTGGAATTGTCTGGGAAGAGTGGCCTCTCACAGACACTGCTCATTGCCCTCCCCCCACCACTGGCAGGATGATGAGCACATTGTCTTGGAGCCAGGAGACCTCTTCCCCCCTTTTTCCCCACCCCCCTCGCCCCGGGGAGAAGTGAAGAAGGGGCCACAGAACCCCCAGCAGCACCGGCTCTTCCGCGTCCTTGAGACCCCTGTGATTGACAACGTCAGGTAGGGGTGCCACCCTGCCTCCTCCTGTCCTCTCCCCAGTGCCTCCCCTGGGGGGGGGCTGCCCAGGAAGGAGCCTTGTTCATCACAGGCCCCCTTGAGAATAGGCATCTCCTGGGCTCCTCTCCCAGACCCTGGGGAGAATTTTTAGACCAGGTGGTGCCCTCTCCCAGTTGAACTCTGAGGGGGCAGTTCTGGAGGCCACCACAGGCCCCTCTCCCCAGGCACCATGTGGCCAGGGCCAGGGCAGATTGGGGACTGCAGGACGTCGGGTGCTCAGTGAAGCACTATCCAACTGAGAGGCCCAGAATCCCCCCAAGGTGCAGGTTTCTGGCCTGTCTGCCAAGTGGGGCTGAGGGTTGGCTCTTTCTGCAGATGGTGCCTGGACATGGCCCTGTCGCGCCCAGTCACTGCCCTGGACAACGAGAGGTTCACAGTGCAGTCGGTGATGCTGCACTACGCCGTGCCTGTGGTCCTGGTGCGTGAGGCAGGGCCGTGTGGGGCAGGGAGGGAGCCGGACATGGGGGCCTCAGGGCCACACTCAGGTGAGCGTGTGGGTGAAGTAGAGGGTCCCAGAGTGAGCCAGCCCATGTGAGAGGCAAAGGAAAGGGAGCTCTAGCACCTGGCTCTTCTTGAGGGCATAGGTCAAGGCTGCCTTTCCTGTTCCCATCAGGCTGGCTTCCTTGTCACCAATGCCCTGCGCTTCATGTTCAGTGCCCCTGGGATCACTTCCTGGCAGTACACCCTGCTCCAGCTGCAGGCAAGCATTGCCCTTTCCTTTCTGTTGTGCTTTTCTCTGTCCCATGGGGCTGGGTCCCTCATGGTACCCTGATTGTCCCTCCCCCTCTGCGGCCCAGAGGTCCCCTCAGGCTGCAGCTTAAGAATGCCTCCTTCCCTTCCTGCCCCCTGGACAGGTGTCCTTTCATGCCCAGGGAATGGCCACAGGGCCAGGGGGCAGCCCTTTCCCCCCACCCCAGGCCCGGAGCTCTCGGGAGCCTCCACGTGGTCCCCTCTTTCCCAGGTGAATGGCGTCTTGCCCATCCTCCCCCTACTCTTCCCAGTTCTCTGGGTTCTGGCAACTGCCTGTGGAGAGGCCCGAGTCCTGGCACAGATGAGCAAGGCCTCGCCCAGCTCCCTGGTAGGTGGTTCCAAGGCGTCTGGGGGAAGTGGCAGGAACAAAAAGAGGGAGTTGGCTGTGCCAGGGGACAGGGCAGAAGTCCAGCCTCACCTTGGGCTCAGCATGCTGGTAGGCCCTGGGCAGCTCTCCAAGGGCTCCAGCCCTCCCTGTTCCAGAATAGTCTCCAGGCCAGGCCCTGGGTGTGGGTGAACATCCATCCGGGCTCCCACCAGACAGGAAGTCAAGACTACCCGGTGCCCTTCACCAAAGAGGTTGGGAGCCTCGCTGGGGTGGGGGCCCCTGCCCTGCCAGCGTGGAGGCCTGCATGAAGGCAGCTTTTCCTCACTGAGGCCTGCACCCTCCTTCTCTGTGCAGCTGGCCAAGTTCTCAGAGGACACGCTTAGCAGCTATACAGAAGCCGTCTCCTCCCAGGTACACTGACCTAGGATGGATTCTGCCCCACGCCCTGGACCCATACACCTGGGCTCCCACATGCCCTTTCTGGAACCTGGCTTGTGGAGCCCCCGTGTCCACCTTTGCATATGAACATAACCCAGGCCTATTCCCATAACGTGTCAGTGTCCTGTCAAGATAAATGCCTCTCTACCCAACTTCTTCCTGGTGCTCCCCCAGACTTTTCCCACTTTTTGCCCCAGAGGCCATCTCTAGGGAAATAAGGCTGATCCCAAGATGGCCTTGCAGACTTTCTCTCTCCTACTAGGAAATGTTACGCTGCATTTGGGGCCACTTCCTGAGGGTGATCCAGGGGACGTCGCCAACCCTGAGCCACAGTTCCAGCCTGCTGCACAGCTTGGGCTCTGTCACGGTGAGGGTGGCCCCTGTGGGGGGGAGGAGGCACCCTGTATCCCCAAGCCTGCAGCCTGGCCAGGTCTGGGTTGTCCATCTGCCACTTGAGTGGCCCCTGGGCAGGTTGGGCTAATGCTAAGCCCCCTTTCCAATCCCAACCTCTCTCCCTGCAGGTCCTGTGCTGTGTAGACAAACAGGGGATCCTGTCCTGGCCAAACCCCAGCCCAGAGACCGTGCTGTTCTTCAGTGGGAAGGTGGAGCCCCCTCACAGCAGCCACGAGGACCTAACGGATGACCTGTCCACCCGCTCCTTCTGCCATCCTGAGGTAGAGGAGGAGGTATGGCCGGCTCCCATGGGCCCAACTCTGGGCTAGGCTGTTTAGCCTTGGAGCCTGGCCAGGGAGGGTGAGATTTAGGAGGGAGAAGGCAGGTTCAGGCACCCTTAGGATCTGCCTCTGAGCAGGTAAGGTGAAGCCACAGGACCGGGCAGTGGACCTAGAACTGCCTGCTTTCCTGATGTGTGGGAGCCCCTGGGCCCCAGTGCTAGATCTGTGCTCCTCATTCTCCTCAGCCCCGTGAACGAGATGCCCTCCTGGCTGGCTCCCTGAGCAACACCCTACACCTTTCCAACGAGCAGGAGCGTGGCGACTGGCCTGGCGATGGTCCCAAGGCCCCCGAGCCCTACTCTCACCACAAGGCGCATGGCCGCAGCAAACACCCCTCCGGCTCCAATGTGAGCTTCAGCAGGGACACTGAGGGCGGGGAAGAAGAGCCTAGCAAGGTGAGAGGAGGGGGGCAGAGTGCAGCAACCCCCTCCTCAGCGACAAACCCTCCTGGCTCCCCTGCCAAAGAAAGAGCACAGAAGTCCCCCCCATCCCAGAGCCCCCAAGCTTTGCCAGTTGGATCCCCCTTCCAGTTCCCAGTGATGGTCTCTGGTCTCCTGAGCAGAACCTTCTAAACACAAGGCCGGTGGCTCCTTCTTATATATGTTCCCTGGCAGAAAAAGATCCCTTATTATTTTTTGCTTGGTCTGGCCATCCTTCTTTTTCAATCCTGCCTGTGTCATTGGGTATAGATCCTAGAAGCAGACAGGAGCCCAAGAAGGACAGGAAGAGGATTTGGGGAGCGGTGGGAGAGCGGCAGCAGAGCACTTTCTCCTGGGAAGGGTGCATCCTTCAGGAGCAGGAGCCCTCCCCTAACCTTGGGAGGCGACTGGAGTCAGAGCCTGCGTCCCCCACACCCGGCCTGGTCTGAGGCTCTCCTTCCCCTACACGTTTCCTCCAGCCCCAGCCTGGGATGGAGGGTGACCCCTATGAGGCGGAGGACTTTGTGTGCGACTACCACCTGGAGATGCTGAGCCTGTCCCAGGACCAGCAGAATCCCTCCTGCATCCAGTTTGATGACTCCAACTGGCAGCTGCACCTCACCTCCCTCAAGCCCCTGGGCCTCAATGTGCTGCTGAACTTGTGTAATGCCAGTGTCACCGAGCGCCTGTGCCGGTTCTCAGACCACCTGTGCAACATCGCCCTGCAGGAGAGCCACAGCGCCGTGCTGCCTGTGCACGTGCCCTGGGGGCTCTGCGAGCTTGCTCGCCTCATTGGTAAGGCTGCCCTGCGCTAGGGCATGGCCAGCTGGGGAAGAGGGCCAGCACTGACTTGTAACAGGGCCTAAAGGACCCAGCATGGCATTCGCTTGTCATGAGCACTGTCTGCTCCCTTAGCTTCTGATGGTCCCCTTTAACCAGACACTGCTGTGTGTGACACAGCTTCCTGATTGGAAAGAAAGAGAACTGATTGTTGGGATGAGAAGGTGGAATGAAACAGCCAGATTGGCTGGATTCTGTCTGAGCCCAGGGAGGGGGAGGTGGTGTGAACTTCCTCCCAGAGGCCCTAAGTTCCTGTCCCTTGCCCTATAGGCTTCACTCCTGGGGCCAAGGAGCTCTTCAAGCAGGAGAACCACTTGGCACTGTACCGTCTCCCCAGCGCTGAGGCGGTGAAGGAGACCTCGCTGGGGCGACTCTCCTGTGTCACCAAGCGGCGTCCTCCCCTCAGCCACATGATCAGCCTCTTCATCAAGGACACCACCACTAGTGAGCCCACACATCTCTGCCAGCGTCAGGCCTGACCTTCCTTGGCAGGGGAGCTCTGCCCTGCCCTGTCCTTTCCTCCTAGGGAGGACTAGGCAGATAGACAGTAGACTGCTTCCTGAGTCTTCCAGTGTGGCAGGGATTGGACTTGGGGACCAGGGATGGGGTGGTGGTGGCCACAGAGGATGGGATTGTCCAAAGGACGGGAAGTACAGTGTCCGCATTAAAAGCCCAGGGCTCTTCCCTAGAGGCTTGCTATCATGAGGCCCTAGGAGGTCCCTCCTCCGTCAGGGGCTCCCAAGCACCCTTCCCCAGGATGGCAGTGTGCTGCCTATTAGGTCAGAGTGAGGGGCAGGGGTTAGTTGGGACACTCATGGTTTGACCTTTTTCTTTACTGCCCACCCCCTGCCCCAGGCACAGAACAGATGCTGTCCCATGGGACGGCCGACGTGGTCTTGGAGGCCTGCACAGACTTCTGGGATGGAGCTGACATCTACCCTCTCTCAGGATCCGACAGGTGAGCAGGGGAAGCGCTTGCCAGTGACATGAGCAGTCAGCTGGTCTGCCTGTCCTCACAGGCATGGGAGCACCCAGGACCACTCACCTCACTTCTTTCCTGCTTCCCTGGCAGAAAGAAAGTGCTGGATTTCTACCAGCGAGCCTGCCTGTCTGGTTATTGCTCTGCCTTCGCCTACAAGCCCATGAACTGTGCCCTGTCCTCTCAGCTCAATGGCAAGTGCATTGAGCTGGTACAGCTGCCTGGCCAGAGCAGCATCTTCACCCTGTGTGAGCTGCCCAGCACCATCCCCATCAAGCAGAACACCCGCCGCAACAGCTGGAGCTCTGACGGTACTTCGTGCGTCCATCCAAGTGGGGCTAGCACTGGGGCTCCCAAGGGATGGGGTCCCAGGAGCAGGGAAGGCTTCCAGAGGGCCATGGCACCCACTGCAGCAAAGGGTGCAGTGGGCTCACAGCACTGGCCTGGGATGCCAGCCATGGCACTCTTCATCCAGTGACGTGAGGAGTCCCTTAGTTTCCTTGCCTATAAACAAGCAGGTGCTCACTCTGCTCTTCTCACAGGTTGGTTGTGATGCTCAAATAGGATAATATACATAAAGTGCTTTTGCGGGAAATCGTAAAGCACATGCATTTGTAGAGCATTAACCTTATTAGCATCAGACAGCAGACTAGGTCACAAACCTTGCTGGAACAGAGGGACCCAGAAGCTCCATCCCACCCCCCACCCCTGACCCCCTGCCAAACACGCACACTTACGAGGTCTTTTAAACCCAAGAGACCATGATCGAAGCAGTTGCCGAGGGCAGGGCCAGTCCCCTAGCTCTGGAGCAGGGCTGGGCAGGAGCTGTGGCCACGCTCTGTCTGGCTCCTCAGGATGCCACCTGACTGATGAGTACCTTTCATTGTCTTTTCTCCTCCTGTGTCTGTTGGCTCCTTTGTGTGTCTTGGCTGTGTGCGTGTGTGGCTGTGTGTGGTCCCCTGGGGCCTCGTGCTCATTGATTTGGGTGTGGCATCTGTGTGTGTGGCCCTGGGCTGCCTCCTGGAATCTGCTGGTTCCTGGGTGTCCTGACTGGGACCCGGGTGTCCTGGCCGGGCTTTGTGCCTTGTGCCTGCCTGAAGAAGGGATCGGGGAGGTGCTGGAGAAGGAAGACTGCATGCAGGCCCTGAGCGGCCAGATCTTCATGGGCATGGTGTCCTCCCAGTACCAGGCCCGGCTGGACATTGTGCGCCTCATCGACGGGCTGGTCAATGCCTGCATTCGCTTCGTCTACTTCTCCTTGGAGGACGAGCTCAAAAGCAAGGTGGGGAGAGCCACCCCCTCTGCCAGGCTGACCCTTTTTCCAGGGGCTTTTGGGCCCTTGTGTTCATTGCCATTACCTTTCACAGGTGTTTGCAGAAAAGATGGGCCTGGAGACAGGCTGGAACTGCCACATCTCCCTCACACCCAATGGGGACATGCCTGGCTCCGAGATCCCCCCCTCCAGCCCCAGCCATGCAGGCTCCCTGCATGATGACCTGAATCAGGGTGAGGGTGAAGGCTTGGGGTGAGGCAGTGGGGGTGGGAGCAGGAAGAGCCTCCATAGATCCCTGCTGATAAGCACATTCCTTTGGAAAATGGCTCTGGTGTCTCTGTGGGTAGTAGTAAGCGGCAGGGGAGGAGCAAAAACCTGGAGGCAGGAAGTTCTGTGCCATCTGCAGGGCAAGGAAAGGCCCCCAGAAGGCTGGCCCCAAGGTGAGGGACAGGCTTTTGTCCCTACAGTGTCCCGAGAAGATGCAGAAGGGCTCCTCCTCATGGAGGAGGAGGGTCATTCGGACCTCATCAGCTTCCAGCCTACGGACAGCGACATCCCGAGCTTCCTGGAGGACTGCAACCGGGTATGATGGCAGGATCTGACCCATATGCCCCTCTAGTGGTCCCTCAGCTGGACCAGGGTAGGGAAGGGCAGGAGGAGGGGCAGGCAGTTGAAGGGGAGGGATCCTGCTCCCATCCTGAGTCCACTGGCATCTCTGCTTTCTCCAGGCCAAGCTGCCCCGGGGCATCCACCAGGTGCGGCCCCACCTGCAGAACATTGACAACGTGCCCCTGCTGGTGCCCCTCTTCACCGACTGTACCCCTGAGAGTGAGTGCCGTGGCCATGGGCACTCAGGCAGCCTGGTCCTGGGTACCCTGTGGGCTCTGGAGGGTGCAGGTTTCCTGTGCAAGGTGTAGAGCCCAGGCTGGGATCAGCTGGGGAATCTCAGGGGGCTGGTGCCATGGGTGTGCTCATTCTAGAGGGCTCGGAAGTGACAATGTCCATATGATCCCATTGCTGGGGTGGGGTTGTTCCAAAGAGGGGCCCGCTTCCCATTGCCTCCTGCCCAGCACCCACAGAGAGCCCTTCCTGCCTGACTCGGTGCCATCCTGCCCTGCCCCTTCAGCCATGTGTGAGATGATAAAGATCATGCAGGAGTATGGGGAGGTGACCTGCTGCCTGGGCAGCTCTGCCAATCTGCGGAATAGCTGCCTCTTCCTCCAGAGCGACATCAGGTCAGGGGGGCACCCTAGAGCCTGCGGGCCAGCCTCTACCTCCCAGACCCAGGCTGGGCCTGCATGGGGCTGGGGGTGGATCCTATGGCTGATTTTACCCTGGCTGGACCAAGGTACTGGGGCATGGTGGGAGAAGAAGGATGGGGTACTGAGTCCTGTGGGGGATGGGGTCTCTGCAGAGTGCAGCTGATGGGTGTGTTTTCCCCTGCCCTGAGCAGCATTGCCCTGGACCCCCTGTACCCATCCCGTTGCTCCTGGGAGACCTTTGGCTACGCCACCAGCACTAGCATGGCCCAGGCCTCGGATGGCCTTTCTCCCTTGCAGCTGTCTGGGCAGCTCAACAGCCTGCCCTGCTCCCTGACCTTTCGCCAAGAGGAGACCATCAGCATCATCCGGCTCATCGAGCAGGTGGGGGCCTGGCCGGGGGAGGGAGAGGGCTGCAGGGCCTGCTGGGAGAACCCGGGTGGGAGTAGCTGTATAGGAGCCACTGCCACCCCACTCAGGCCCTGCCCTCCAAATGAAGCTGTCCTGGGCAGTTTAATCTCCTCTGCTCTGTCCTCAAGGGAGTGTCGAGGACATCTGGCTCCTGGCTGAAGTTGGCCAGCTGCAGGCCTGAGGGAGACCAGGCAGGCCTGGGCTATAATCTGTCCCTCTTGGGCCCTCCCTAGGCTCGGCACGCCACCTATGGCATCCGTAAGTGCTTCCTCTTCCTGCTTCAGTGCCAGTTGACGCTCGTGGTCATCCAGGTGAGGTGTGGCCAGCACAGGCATTGCCTCTCCCCCCACCCACTCCTTCGCTCGGGGCCAGTTGAGGATCTGAGCAGGGAGCCTAGGGCAGCAACATCCCCAAGGGTCCCCTGAGCCTCTGTCAACCCCCTGGGCTTTTCAAGGTGACCCCGTTGGCAGAACAGTGTTCCCTCAGGCCCCAGCTCCTCTCAGGCAGGATGTGGGCATCTGTGTGGGCACAGGGCAAGGTGTACCTTGGGCTCCTAGGGGCTTCTTATTTACCAAAATCTAACTGTGGTTCTCGGCTTCTTTTCTGGCCTAGTTCCTTTCTTGCCTAGTCCAGCTGCCACCGCTCCTAAGCACCACTGACATCCTGTGGCTGTCCTGCTTTTGCTACCCTCTGCTCAGGTGAAAGGCCACACAGCCCTTCCGTGCCCAGGCAGCAGGTCAGAATGTCCCTGTTCCTCCCTAAGAGCCCTGGGTTCTGGAGGAACTGCTCAGGGTTCACCTCCGGGACATATTGAGGGACCTCTCCTTTGTCGTGTTCCATCCCTCACCAGACCTGACCTAATTCCCACGACTCCCTAAAGGCTTCCACTATGAGAATTGCAGGATAGAGGATCACAGTCACTGCCCCTTGACCCGATCTCTGCTTTTCAGCATTTCTCTGCTGGGGAAACCACCCCATAGCTCCATCATGTCGATGGCAACAGGAAAAAACCTCCAATCCATTCCCAAGAAGGTAAGAAAAGTAGACCCCATGAGCCTGGGCCTCTCACGGAGGAACTGGAGTGTGTCCAGAGGGGCTGGGGCTCGGAGCAGGGGAGAGATCAGAAGGGAGATTCCATCAGAACTGGAAAGCCAGCACTTGGTTCCTGGTCTTCCCCTAGATCTTTGGTCTTTCCCCAAAGCAAGGATAGAGTGAGAAAGACCCTTGCTGGGAGTACAAGATCCTTATCCCCCAGGCCTGACCATTTACTAAGAACCCGTTGAACATGTGAAAAAGCCAGGGATGGTGGCAGAGGGGCCATTGGCCACAGGAGTGACTGGCTTCCCTTCTCTTGCAGACCCAGCACTACTTCCTGCTCTGCTTCCTGCTCAAGTTCAGCCTCACCATCAGCTCCTGCCTCATCTGCTTTGGCTTCACACTGCAGAGCTTCTGCGACAGCTCCCGAACCCGCAACCTCACCAGCTGCTCCTCCATCATGCTGCCCAGGTGGGGCCCACACCCAGGGATCCACCCACCCCACTCCCCTCCCCAGCCCACTTCCCTATGGCCCCAGAGGGGCTGAGCCCACACCTTGCTTTGGCAGTAACGATGAAAGAGCTCCAGCCTGGTTTGAGGACTTTGCCAACGGGCTCCTGTCAGCTCAGAAGCTCACCGCTGCCCTGATTGTCCTGCACACTGGTGAGGGGCCCCTGGGGCTGATGATGTTGGGTGGGGAAGGCCTCCAAGGGCGGAGGCGGCCTTGGACCAGTGGGAAGTCTGACCCCTCCATCACCCACTTCCCCCAGTCTTCATTTCCATCACCCATGTGCATCGCACCAAGCCCCTGTGGAGAAAGAGCCCCTTGACCAACCTCTGGTGGGCCGTGACAGTGCCTGTGGTGTGAGTATCACTTGGTGGAGGGGGTGGCGTGGGGGTGGGGAAGGAGAGGGGCGACCGCAGGGCTAGGATTGCAGGGTGGTGTGGGGGCAAGAGGTTTTACTGTGCCCTCCTTGAGCTACCGTGGTAGTGAGGAAAGCAGGGAAAGATGACTTGGAGTTCACAGGGGGCTGCCACTTCCTCCCCTAGGCTGCTGGGTCAGGTGGTCCAGACAGCTGTGGACCTGCAGCTGTGGACGCACAGGGACAGCCGCATCCACTTTGGCCTGGAGGATGTGCCCCTGCTGACCTGGCTCCTGGGCTGCCTGTCCCTGGTCCTTGTGGTGGTCACTAATGAGATCGTAAAGCTGCATGAGATTCGGTGAGCTGCCAGCAGGTCGCCTCCCTCTGTGCTCAGTGTTCCCTAAACTTGTCACCCCCTTGTCAATATCCCCCTGCTCCTCTGGCATCCTGCCCTGGCCCCTCGTTTAAGGGTCTTTACCAGCCTGAACTTTTTTTTTTTTTTTTGAGACAGAGTCTCGCTTTGTTGCCCAGGCTAGAGTGAGTGCTGTGGCGTCAGCCTAGCTCACAGCAACCTCAAACTCCTGGGTTCAAGCGATCCTCCTGCCTCAGCCTCCCGAGTAGCTGGGACTACAGGCATGCGCCACCATGCCCGGCTAATTTTTTCTATATATATTAGTTGGCCAATTAATTTCTTTGTATTTATAGTAGAGATGGGGTCTCGCTCTTGCTCAGGCTGGTTTTGAACTCCTGACCTTGAGCAATCCGCCCGTCTCGGCCTCCCAGAGAGCTAGGATTACAGGCGTGAGCCACCGCGCCCAGCCCAGCCTGAACTTTAATCTCCTGTCCCACCAGGGTCCGCGTCCGATACCAGAAGCGACAGAAGCTGCAGTTTGAAACCAAGCTGGGCATGAACTCTCCCTTCTGAGCCACTGGCTGCGGTGACCATAGTCGCCCTAGTCCCTGGGGCTAAAGCCAGACCCATTTCTGAGTCTCGGGAGTTGGTATCATGAATGTTTGTGGGTTTGCTCTTGCACCCTGTGGCACTGGAAGTCCAGCTCCCGGCGTCAGACCGCGCTGTCTTCCTGACCTCCGGGCTCACTGTGGAGCTGAGCTGGGCAGCCCCTGCCAGTCCCAGCTCTCCCCGGGGCCTTGCCAGGGCCACTCTTGAATGTATGACCTCAGGCACTTGGTAAGGGGCTCTTGACCCCCTCACCTGTGGGCTGCCCCCCTTCAGGGTCCCCTAACCGAGTGCCCTCTACTCTTGGGTCTGTGGGCATGGCCTTGAAGCCAACCTTTTGTGGGTGTGTGACTGCAACGGCCATAGATGTGAACCACTCAAGGCCGGCTGCTGGGGGCAGGGGTGGTGGTACCATCTCCTGAGGGCAGGGGCCTGGAGGTAGCCCTTCTGGGGGAGTCTCACACCTGCACCTGAAGATGGAGCGAGGTCCCCACCTCGCCCTGAAGCCTCTTCTTGTGCCTGGCTTGAGCTGGCGCCAGTCTTGGGCCGTCCGGCCCAGGTCTCCTCAGCCCCTGCCCCAGTTCTCCTGTGAGCAGTTTCTACTGGTGTATATTTTCTACTGGAAATGAGCCTTTTAGGAATGAATGTAGCCTGGTTTGTATTAAAACTTGTAAATGGCTTAAGAAAAACCTGTGGCTGGTCCATGAGGCAGCCACAAAGGGGTCCTCCTACTCAAGGCTGCAGCCGCCGGGGGCAGCACAAAAGGTGAGGAGGGGCGGGCCCAGGCCTTCCTCCTCCACATAGGCAAGTGCCCCTTGGATCTGGCTTAGTTAGCTGAGACCCCTGAGCTCAGGGGTCCATGTCACAGAGGCAGACACACAGCTGAGTTGTATGGAATGACGCTTTCATTGGTGTTAGTTGGGGGAAGAGGTTAATGGTTACAGGGCTGAGGCCTGGGCCACCCAGGTCGGGCTTCCAGCCCTGAGGTGGGCAGTGGGCACTACTGCTGTGGTCCAGACTCCCCCCACTGCGCCCTCTCAGGCAGTTAATAGATAGAATAAATTCCATTTATAATATATGCATTTCTCTCTGCTTAAAAAATAACATTTACAATTGAAAAAGTTTGGACTTTAGGGATCTGTTAATCCCACTACCTCTTCCCCCGCCACCTCTGCCTACAGTGAGGGAAGGCAGGGGCAGGAGCTGGGTACAGCCACTGCCACCGAGGGCACGCCCCTGCCGCGTGCTTACACGTCCTGTGTACACCTGCGGGGAGGGGCCCAGCCGGACACACTGCCTCCTCCAGCCTCAGCACCAGGGCAGCACGGCAGGTGGCAAGAGGCATTCCCTTGGCACAGGGACTTCAGACACAGGTGGGGGGGCACAGAGGAAGCACCCCAGAAGCCCTGCTGCCCCCTCCTTCTTCGTGAGGAGATAGCTCTTACCAGGGTCCCTGTCCAGGGGCGGGGCTGTCGCTCAGATCACACTCTGGGGAGGCCTTTGCTGAGTCGCAGCAGAGTCCCCTCAGCTAGTCAGGTTCTGACAAGTCCCCTTGGCCCCCACCACGGGGCTGCCCCCTAAGAACTGTGGTGCTGATAGCCACTGGCTTGGAGCAGCAGGAAGAAGCCCTGCTAGGGAGGGGTGCTGCAGCTGGAACAGCCCTCTGCCTGTCCCTAGGGTGGCAGGGGCTTCTTCGGCGCTGGAGCAAGGGCAGTGGGCACTGCGGAAGGGCCATAGGATGTCTAGCTCAATCTAGCATGGCGTCCAGCTGGTCAGCCAGGGCGTCGAACATGGTGCTGATGTCATCCAGAATGTGCTTGGTGGAGGTGCCAGGGGGGCTGCGGCAGGGGAAGGACCCGATCAGATCAGCTCAGATCAGCTCAGATCAGCTTGGGGCCCACACCCTGCTGGCCCTGGGGAAGGGAGCTGTCACTGAGCCCCTGTGTTGGTACCAAATACTTTGTGCCATCTTTTCTTACTTTCAAAATCTCCCAAGGGAGTTACCGCCCCTTATGGACGAGTTCACATGCCTCTAAATGGCAGTCACCAGGATTCCCTCAAGGTCAGATTTGGGTGCCTCCAGCATCCCCCCCACGCGCCCCCAGTGCAAGGCTCTGCCTTTGTGTCCCCTCCAACATCCCCGGGAGCCTTGCGAGCTATTCCTACCCCCAGCCTTCTCTTCCTCCCCACCCAGCCCCCTCACCCCTCTCGCTCCTCGGCGCCAATGCTCTTCTCCGCAGCCCTCAGTGCAGCTGCCAGGGACGAGCTGGTCTGTTCCAGTCTCTGCTGAGCCCGGCCTGGGCCCACAGCCCCAGTGCTCTCAGGCCTCGGAGGAGGCACCGGGCGGGGGCCAAGCCGAGGAGCCAGCTTAGGGCCAGAAAATGCCAGTTGGGTACAGGCCACAGACACAGGCTTCGGGGTTGTTCCTGCAGAGACAAAAAGGTCGGCTTGGGACTCTGCTGGGCTGGATGTGACCCTGCAGACGGCGCCCTCTCCCTGTAGGCCTTGGCCCTCACCTGTGCCAGGTACCTTGATGAGGGCAGCCGGAAGCTCCATCTCCCCATTCCACCGACTGCCTGCTGTGTTTTCCAGACCCGGCCCAGGGCAGGGGCACACGGAGGGCACAGGGAGCTGCACTGTGGGGCTGGGAGGATGAGGGGCCACAGCTCCTTGAGGTGGAAGGTTGCTGGGCTTGGGCTGGGGAGGACTGGGAGCAGCAGAGGAAGGTGATTCGCTGGGAGCCTGGGAGGCCAGGGGGACGGAGGGGCCAGGTGTGGCACTGGCCACTCCGAAGGCCAGCAGTGCCGTCTGCAGCGGCTCTCTCTCCCTGTATTTGGGCCTGCGCTTGACAGTGTCTGACTCTGTGAGGTTGAAATCGAGGCCAGGTGTCACAGGCGTCTCCCGGGGTGGGGGGCCAGCTGGCTTCGGCCGCTGCTTGATGGTCAGGTTCCCCTCCTCTGCAAATGGCAGCCCTTCCCCTGAGCTGCCCCGAGATGGGGGTGTCCCCTCAGGGCCTGGCTCCTCCTCCTCCGTGTCTGACACGGGGCCAGCGGGGGCGGGCGTGCCAGGGGGCTCAGAGGGGCCAGTTGGTTCACTCAGTGTTCGTCTTCGAGGCCCTGCAGCTCCATCCTTGGTCCCTGGGCTCCCATCGAGTGGAGGTGGCTCCGGGGTGGGGCCAGAGACCGAGCTGAGGCGCTTGGGGGGTGGGGGTGGGGGACCTTTGCGTCGGGCACGAAGGGCAAAGGACTGGCTTCGGGGCGCCCCTCGAGTTGGGGTCGGACTAGGACTGGTCCGGGCGAGGGCGCTGCGTCCGGGTCGCCGGGTAAGGGTGGCATAACTGCCCAAGGCACTGCCCACTGGCCCTTCGGCTTCCCCCTCACCTTCCCCCTCGGTGGGGCCCGAGCGGCTCAGGCTGTGGGACCGGCGCTTGGGCCGAGGCAGCTCCGGAGGGGTAGGAGGGGTGGCAAGGGGGCCAGCCAAGTAGGAGAAGGCCCGGGGTGCACCAGGAGGTGGTCCTGGGGCCGGGCTGGAGGGTGAGCCCTGGGGGTACATAAAAACATAAGGGGGAGGTCCTTGGCCTGGAAGTGGGGAACAAAGCTTGGGGGGCCGTTCTGTGCCCTCTGGAAGGTTCCTCTCTGGGGGGGTGCTGGAGTCTCCACCATTGGGCTGGGGAGCAGGCTGTTCCTGTGAGTGACCAGACCCCCGTGAGCGTGCCCCGATGCTCTCCTGGCTGGGGGAGCGGGCAGGGGGCAGGGGGAGCGGCTCAGGGCCACCTCCTGCCATGGCTGCCTGTAGCTCTGGGCTCAGCTCGCTGCCCTGAAAAGTGAGGAGGCGTGGGCCAGCTGCAGCTGGACCCTCCCCATTCTCCAGCCCCTCGATAGCCATCAGCTCTGGACCCCTGGCCAGCTGGCGCCCGCCTTCACCTAGGGCCTCCCCCTGCAGGAGGCCCCGCCGAAGCTCCGCCAGCCGCTTCACCCCCAGCATGAGCTTCTTCTGATGCCCTGAGAGGAGTGGATGGAAGTGGCAAGGTTAGCTAGGCCTGGAAAGGATCACCCCAGTCACCACTGGACCCCACTCTCTCTTCTCTTGGAGATCCTGGGAGGCACGTGAGGCCCAACCAGAAAGCCTCCAGGCAGGCTCACCGAGCTTGTTGACACCGATCTCCTGCAGCTCCTCCCAGGTGAGGTCGGCCACCAGCCCCATGGAGTCGTAGCCACTGCTCACCAGCTGTTTGTGATACTGTGGCAGCCCCAGTGCACACAGCCACTCTAGCAAGTCCGCCTGGAAGAGTGCCAGCATTGAGAATTGGCTCCCTGCAATCCTCTGCCCCCAGGTCAGAAAGGAAAAGACACCACACAGCACAGCTGAGGGCGAGAGCCTGTGCCACCACCGCCACCCACTCACCGGGATGTAGCTGGGCAGCCACTCAGCGATACTGAGCTGAGCGATCTCCGAGGCGATCTTCTTCCTGTGCCCAGGCTTGGTCACCCCAATGGCTGTCAGGTCCTGCCATACAGAGTCTGGGCATTAGGGTCCCTCCTCTGCCCACTGGGCCTTCCCTGTCCTCCCCAGCTGTAGCACCTACCTCAGGCGTCATGCGACTGATGGTTGGCACATCATAGCCAGCCTGCAGAAAGTGGGCAGTGTAGCCCTCCAGCTGGAACTCGCTCAGCCAGTTATGAATGGCTTGCGCATCCTGGGGGGTGAGGGAAGCAGGCAGAATTAGCAGGAGCTGAGCCAAAGCTCCTCCCTCCCCCAGGGACTTAAGTCCACACACAGTCCCTGCAGTCTCCCCTGAGGCCCAGAGTGCACTCCCCAGTGAAGGCCACACCTTCCCCTCCAGCAGCTGTTCTGGCCTCACGTCCTGGGTGAAGATCTGCTCCCCAGAGCGGTAGTTGGCCAGAGGGTGGTGGCTCAGGTTGTCTTCAAGGAGGGAGAGAAATGGAATCGGAAGTGGCAGGAGGAAGGGGTGCCAAGCCCTCAGCCTCCCCACCTGCACCTCTCCTAGCAGCCAGGTTCTAGTTACCCTTCCTACCTGCCAGGGATGGGGGGTGCAGTCCTGGCAGTACCTGGTCTTCTCCGGCAGAGGGCAGTGGCTGGAGAGAGGAAAGGAGGCAACTCAGCATTTGGGGAACTGGGAGTGGGGGGTGGGCCCTGCCCTGGAACCAGTGTCCCCCCCCGCCCCACCCCACCCCCGCTTCTTACCTGGGCATTCTCAATCAGGAGGCCAGTGCTGTGGCCATTGGTGCCCTCAGAACTCTGCCCGCTGCCAGCGCTGCGGATGCTGCCCACACTGCCCTCGCTGCCCACACTATTCCTGTCACCTGCTGCAGGGGGCAGGAGTAAAGGGGTCAGAACCTCAGGTGGCACTGCCAACAGCTGACTGGCAGTTTACCCAAGCCTGACGCCCACACCAGTGCCCAGTGCTTACTCTGGGAGGATGTACCTGGGCTGTCTGGGGTAAGGCCCATCCGAGGGAGCTGGCCATAGGTAAGAGGGTGCAGGGTGTCTTCGGCAGGAGGCTGCGGTGTCCGGGAGAAGCCTGGACGCAGGGGGGTGGGCACAGAGGGAAGGCGGGGCACAGGGACGCCCACTCGCTTACTGACCACCTCGACGATGCCTGGGGGAAAGTAGCCCACACGGTCCGTGCCCCTTTGGCTCTCGTGGATGTGGCCCTTCCAGCGGCCATCGGGGTGTTGCTCAAGCACCTGCAACAGGGTGGGGAGAGCACAGTTACTCACAGCACCAAGCAAGGGGCAAGCAGCTGTCCCTGCAAGCCAGGCCAGCATCCCTGGTCCAGCTCTCCCCTATCTCCAAGAAGCTGGCCTCTGATGCCCAAATTGGCCCAAGTTCTGCCCCTGCTGCCAGTATCCACCACAGTCCCCAGTGTGCCTCCAGGGCCAGCCTGTGGTCAAACCCCAGCTCCACTATTTGCTAGCTGTGAGACCTTGGCCAAGTCACTTCCATTTCTCTAATTTTAGTTTAATTTCTCAATTTTATCATCTCTAAAACAGAATTGGTAATAGCACTACCTTCTCTGATTTTTGGAAAGAATTAAATGAGAGTGCATACAAAGACCTTACTTAGCCCACAACCTGACAACACAGCAGGTGCCCAAATAAGTAACAGTGATCATTTGTATTGGCAAAGGAATGCTGGCACGGGTCCCTCACCGTGATGACATCCCCTGCCCGGACATTGAGAGCAGTGGGATCATGAAGATTCCAGAAATCCTTGAGCGCTCGCACCTTCAGGATCCCTGAGGCCTCTAAGAGAAGGGTGAGCAGGTGTCATCTAAGGGTCCTCCACCCAACCCCCCCCCAGGACATCTGCTCCCCTCCACATCCTGGTACCTACTGGAGTGGCTCCAGCCCCCATGGAGGGGTCTCCCCCACTGCACTCACCGCGCAGTAGCTGCTTGATTTCCCGGCTGGCCTGGGAGGTGGTGAACTGATTTACGATGTCCAGTGCCGTCTGGTTATACGTGTTCCGGATGTTCACGTCCACTCCTCCCTGGGTACACAGTGTCGCCTGAGCATGCACTGAGCACTCTGCCTATCATCTTTCAACTATCCAGGAGGTGGGTACTATTATCATTTTCAGATTTTACAAAGGAGGAAATGGAAGCACAGGGACCAGGTCAAGGACGAGCTCTAGGTCACTCAGCTAGTAAGAGGCAGACCTGAGGTTCAAACCAGGTTGGTCTGCTCTGAAGCCACACGGCCTTGGCACCATTCAAAAGGAAGTCAGGCCCCTTCTCCAACACCCATGCAAAAACCATGCGAGTAGTAGAGTCCTCCCTGCCGTGCCTCCCTAGCCAGTCTGAGCACACAGCAGAGGCTCCCGAGTACACCTGTGGGGTGACCAAGTGTCCACACCCACCTCCAGGAGCAGCCGTACCACCTCGGTCTTGCCATACAGCGCGGCCTCGTGGAGTGCCGTGCCTGTCTTGGTCTGGCGGTTGATCTCAATCCCGGCCCTCAGGAGCTGCCTGTGGCAGGAGAGGGGGTCGTGGGGTCATGGTGGCTAGGGGCTGGAGGGGAAGCCGCCTGCCAGGGGCTGGGAGGCTGAGAGCAAGGGTGAAGATGGTGGCAGGGGAGGGCACTGTGGGGCACTGACAGTCCCCCACAAAGGGGATGAGGAAGTGGGGGGACATTGGGGATACCTGATGACTTCTCTGTGGCCATTCTTGGCAGCCAAGTGCAGGGGTGTGGTGTAGTTAGGGTCACATGGGTCCTTGGCCTCACCCTCCAGCAGCGCCACACACAAGTGGCTATTCAGCAGCAGCTGGGCCACCTGCAGCACCCAGCACCCAGTTAGAGCTTCCTCCTGAGGCCCCGCAGGCATCCAGGACCCAGCACCCCCAGGGCTGCAGGCCTCACCTTGAGCCTCCCGAATTCACAGGCCAGATCTAGTGGCGTCTTCTTGGCCTTGTTGACCAGGCACGGGTTGGACTGATGCTGGAGGAGCATTTCTGACTGGGGTGGGGGGTGCTGAGTGAGGGCCTGGCCTGCTCGGCACCTGCCCCCAGGTCCCCATAGGCAGGCTCACATACCACCTCGTAGTGTCCGTACTGCGCAGCCAGGTGCAGAGGGATCTGCCCGTCCAGCGAGGCGGCATTGACGGCTGCAGAGGCCCGCAGCAGCAGCCTCACAGGCTCCAGCCGGCCCTGCCAGGCCGCGTAGTGCAGTGGGCGCATGCCTGGCAGGAGGGAAGGGGTTTCTGAGGGAGGGCCTGGGACGGCGTTGAGTGGGGGACTGAGCAGAGCACAGAGCCACAGCTGGGAGGGCAGACAGCCCAAGGGGGTGTGACTCTGGCCTCGCCCTGGGGTGGTCAGGAAGCAGTCTGCTGTACGGGGCAGAAGCCAGAGTCCCACTGTGCCCACCATGGATAATCTGATGACCCCAGGACAGACACGTAAGTAACCTCTCTGAGCTTCCAACTCTTCATCTGAATAACAGGACAACAGCACTACCCCCATCCCAGAAGGCTGTGAAGATTAAAGAGGGAAAAGCCACCTACACGCCCAGAGAAGCTACACAGACATCAATCAGCACTACTACCGGATAGTAGGAGTGAGCTCTGATCACAGGGTCTGGGAAGGGCCTCTACCTGCTGGGCAGGGGACCCACTGGGGTCTCACCATTGCTGTCCTTGATGTCAACGGTGGCCTGCGCCTCCAGCAGCAAGGCTATGAGCTCCAGGCTGCCCCCCAAGGCAGCATGGTGGAGAGCGGAGAATCTGGTGGGGGGACAGACAGTAGGGGGTATCAGTGAACAGTGCCCCAACTCCAAACCCTGGTCTTCCACACTCGAGCCCATCCTGGGGGCTGGCAGGGATGGGTTACTCGCCCCCTCCCCACCCCCGCCAGCCCTGCCGTGGGAGCGCAGCAGCCGGGCCACAGCATGAAAGGGCTCAGTGTCTGGGCTGAGAGGCCTGTTTGTCTGGCCTCCCCCCGAGCCGGCCCAGGGGAGGGGGCCGTGGGAGCAGGAGCCCGAGGGTTCCTACCCTCCAGGGAGAAAAGGGGGCCCGGCAGGAATCTGACCCAAGAAGGCCCCTAGGAGAGGCACCAGGGCCCTCCCCTCACGCAGGGTAAGTCCACAGGCAGGGAGGTGGGCAGGACCCCTCCCTCTGGACCTACACGAGCAGGACCCAGAGCTCTCAGCAAATACACTTCAGGGCCAAGTCTGAGAGAAGGGGCTCTGGGCCTCAGGGCCTTTCCCCCCGCCCCTCCCCAGGGCTCCACTCACCCGTCCGCATCCTGGTAGTTGACGTTCAGCCTCTTCGTGGAGCCCAGGAGCTCTGGGGGTCAGGGCAGGAGGCAACAGGTACATCAGGTGACTTATCCTCAACCAGCGTTCCCTCCCCCCATCTCACAAAGCCTGCTGACCTCTTGGTGTGCAGGAAAGCACCTGCCCCATGGCCTTTCACCAGTCCTGTCCCTGTGCTCCTACCCTGGCCCACCAGCCTGTCAGCTTGGAGGCAGGGAACTGCTGCAGCAGTGGCCTGGCTTCCCGGGCCCCGGCCTCGAGTGTTTATAGAGCCAAAGGGGGGGTACTGGCATGATGTGCCCTCAGAGGACAGGCCCACGGAGCGCATGGTTGGCATTCCTGCCTGAATGGGCCAGGGAGCAAGTCACATTGTCCTGCTGGGCCCAGCGGAGTGAAGAGAAAGGAGGGGGCGCTAGGTATTCAAGAGAAGGACTTCCGCCGACTGAAGGGCCACAGTGCCAGCCCTGGTGGGGCATCCCTCAGTGGAGCCCCACCAGGTGGGGAAAGTGGCATCTGACAGACCTACACCTCACTCTAGCTCTGCCAGGTGCCAGCTGTGTGGCCTTGGGCAGGTCATTTAACCTCTCAGGCTCAGTGTCCTCATCTGTAAAATGAGTTGATCGCAGAACCTGCCCACAGAGGCCGTGAGTACAGTGCTCAACCTTGTCAGCATGCAAAGATGGGAGCTGTAACCATCTAGCCCTCCTTATGTGTTGGCCAATACTATCATGATGTCCCTTCAGCAACAGCTGGCACAATCCCCCACTCTCCCCCCGGATCTCGGCGGGTTCTCAGCCTGCCTGAGGAGTGACTGCTGACTCTGCACCCACAGGCTGTGAGCTGAGCTGTCTGTGCCCCGGGCAGGGGTGCTCTGCTTGCTGGTATCACCCTCTCGGGGCAGGGTTCATGCAGGTGTGCTCCCTGCCTGAGCCAGGGCACTGGTGGGGGCGGTCCTTGAAGCAATGGGGAGGGGAGGAGCAGGGGAAGGCGTGTCTCAGTGGCTCCTGCTTCCCGCTGGAACCCACCCCTGCTGGGAAGGAGGGGGCCTGGCTCAACCAGGGCTGGGCACAGTGCCAAGCATGCTGGTCCTGGCCTGCCCCCCAGGCTCTGGTGGGCCCCTGAATATCCCAGTAGCCTGGGCAAGACAGGGCCTCATTCCAGCAGGGAGGGACCAACCCCGCAATGAGGAACATGGGACTGGGAGGAGGGGACAGCTTCGTTTAGGACTGAGCCAAAGGACACTACACAAAAAAGGCAAATACAGAGCCAAGGAGGGACAGATGAGCTGATGCTGTTGGGGCCACTGGGAAGAAACACACACCTCCTAGTTTGCCTCCAGCTTCCTTGGAAAGTCCTTGTCACACAGAACCATTTGGGGTAGTGGAAAGAACAGGGCCCTTAGAAGCAGGAAATGCATGGCTCAAATGCTCACTCTGCCTTTCTGGCTGTGCGACCTTGGCCAGTTGTACCTCTCTGAGCCCCAGTAAAGACAAGGTCAGCAGGGACGAGACTAATAAAGTCCTTCATCCCGCCCACCCGTCCGCCAGCCTGGACAGTTTGGGATGGGGCAGCTGGGTGGCGGGATGCAGCCCTTCTGGGGAGGGACAGGAACAGGCACAGGCCTGGGCGGCTCTGTTATTTCCAGAACAATGGCAGGAAAGGCGGTGAGGGAGAGGTTCAGAGAGACTGGGCTGGGGACATCGGCAGGAGGGTGGAGGGTCCTGGTTCCTGGCAGTGGTTCCAGGCACTTCTGCTACAGCATAACCTTCTTCCTGGGCCTGGCTCTGGGGGTGGAAAGGTCACTCCTGATTTAGGCTCTCCAGCAGAGGATGTGAGCTCAGCCGGCCACCCCAGCCCACTCTATTTCCTCTGGCCAAAGAAGGAGACTGCTCGGGGAAAGGGAGTGGGGAAGAGGGAGGGGCCAGGGCTGCCCCACCCCTTCCTCCCACCACCTGCTCCCCAAAGAGGACCTGGCAGGGGGCAGGGAATGCCACCAGACATCAAATGGAGGAGGCTGAGACAGCACCTGCCTCCCTTCTCCTCTCTTTTTGGATAGCCAGAAGCTCCAGCTACCCTCCCCAAAGGAAAGAGGGGAGTCCTGACACCTCCCTTCCGGCAGTTTCCGTGACCTCTCTGTGGTATGGAGGAGTTCCTAGCCCCACTTCTGGGAACTGCATTACAATCACCTGGAGAACGTTCTAATTTGCAGAGTCCCAGGCCCTCTGTGATTGATTCTAATTTTGGGGGGAGTCCAGGGAGTCTAAACTTTTAGAACAACCACTAGGCAGGTGCAGTATACACCACCTGTAGTCCCAGCTACTTGGGAGGCCGAGGCAGGAGGATCGCTTGAGCCCAGGAGTTTGAGGCCAGCCTGGGCAACATAGCAAGACCATGTCTTTTAAAAATAAATAAATAAATAAATAAACAATCCCTAGGTAATTCTGACCTAGGTAATCCCTAGGTAATTTTGGGGGTAGCCAAGTGTGGAGCACAGGTTGCAGCTTTGCCTCTGACCAGCCACACGATGGCTATGTGACTTTGGGCAAGTCACTAACCCTCTCTGAGCGTCACTTTCCTTATCTGTAGAACAGATATAGAAATACCTATCTCACACAGCAGTAAGGAAATTATAACATTTCATAAACTGTAAGGCTTGCGAATGTCACCTTGTGATCTCACTTTTGTCACCAGCTTCTCCAGCTCCTCAGAGGACTGGGAAGAGAGGCATGGTGCCAGGCCCTAGTCACACTGCCCGCACCTGCACCCTGTGCAGGGTGAATTTTCCCCTTTGGGGCTGAAGGCAGGGACCTCTTCACCCACAGACATTTCCCACTAGGCACAGGGGACCTTGGAGCCGAGGAGCCCAGCTGTGAAGTTCCCACCACCAGCCTCCAGACCCCCCTTGCCTGCCCTCCCGAGGGCCTCACTTTGAGGCCCCAGGGCCGTGAGGCCAGCAGCCTGACCAAGGCCCCACTGGGCAGGTTGCCAAAAACAACACACAGGAGATGGGGGAGTGGGAGTGGCTCCCACTCTTGGGCCTCAGGGCTCTCCCCTGGGACCTTCTTAGCACCTTCCCTGGTGTCCACTTCCCCAGGGCACAGAGGCCCCCCCCCCCATAGCTCCATCTCTCCGTGCCCTGGGTCTCCCACCGTGGTGTGCAAAAACCCTTCCTTCTGGATCTCGAATAGGTGTGGGTGGGGACAAAGGTCTTTGAATACCCTGGGGGATTCCTTCCTGTGTACAGGGCCAAGGTGTGTCTTGGGGCTAGACCCCAGCACCCCAGAAAAGACCCTCCCATCCAGAGAACTCCTCCTCCAGCCTCAGTCTGATGGTAGAAACCACCTCCTGCCCCCGCTGGTCTGGGATCTCAAGGAGATAAGATAGATAACCCAGAAGTCTAGTCTCCTTGGGGTCCCCCACCATAGAGGGACCCAAGAAATGGGGCTCAGGTGTGGCCACCGGTGCATGGAGCCCCCAGGCTATGTGGAAACTTCTAGAAAATTAGCTTTGGCCACACTCCCCCCCAGGGGCAAAAGCAGATCAGTTAGGGGAAGAGGGGTTTTATTTTATTTCATTTATTTTTTATTTTCTTGAGACAAGAGTCTTCCTCTGTTGCCTGGGCTAGAGTGCAATGGCGTCAGCTTAGCTCACAGCAACCTCAAACTCCTGGGCTCAAGTGATCCTCCTGCCTCAGCCTCCTGAGTAGCTGGGACTACAGGTGTGCTCCACCACATTCGGCTAATTTTTTCTGTTTTTAGTTGCCCAGCTACATTTTTTCTGTTTTTAGTAGAGACAGGGTCTTGCTCTTGCTCAGGCTGGTGTTAAAATTCCTGACCTCAAGTGATCCTCCCTCCTTGGCCTCCCTGAGTGCCAGGATTACAGGTGTGAGCCACTGCGCTCGGCTGGGAAGAGGGGTTTTAGCAAGTAGATAGTGTTGAACTTTTATTTAAAGTAGTAGATAACTTAATGGGGGTATCAGTAAAATAAGACATAAACACAGAGATGCTGTTGTTGAAGCCTGTGTGTATGGGGTTGGAGTGAGGAATGTGTTCTATCTATTCAGTCTTTCCCAGCCATTGCCAGAAACCCCCTGGCTCCATAGAACACATATGCAAAGCCATCTGCCTCAAGGCAAGTCCATGAGGGCAGGGATTTTGGTCCGTTTTGTTCACTGCTAGAGACAAGTGCTTAGAACACACCTTGGCACAAAATACGAACTCAATAAAAATGTAAATGAATGTACTTAAACCCTCTCTCTGTAGGCAAGGAAACTTCAGCCCAGAGAGGTTAAGTGAGTTGCCTAAGGACACATAGTAAGGAGACTCAACTTCTCTGGCTCTCCCACAGAGGCGCTTCTTGTCCAGAACAAGATAGTCCTCCCTACTCGAGTATGCATATCACAATGACACCCCCTCCACCAAGCCTCTGTGGCCTGAGCTCTCGGGGAAGGTCCTTGACTGGATGGTCTCCCCACCGAGTACTCACTTGTTTTTGCCGCCTTGACCTTAGCCACCAGTTTCTGCACACCAGTTACATCTCCGTTCTTGACAGCGAGGATCAGGTCCTGTTCACGACCCATCCTGGCCCCTGGGCCGGGCTCTGGCTTGAGTCCAGGGCAGAGGCAGGCAAACTGGTCCAAGCCAAGATGTCAAGGAGCCATGCCTCAGCCCCCTGGAGAGCCCCTGGTCCTGGAGCACGTCTGGTGTCCCAGGCAATGGGCTCCTTGTCAGGCGCTGATGGATATTCCCTCAAGGTGCTCCGTGAGCTGCCACCACAAGCAGGAAAGCCAGTCTCGGAGGGGGTGGAGGCTACGTGGAAATCTGGACGGATATCAGCTTGCAGCTTCCGACGGCCCCGGGATGGGCCGGGACTGGGCACGCCAATCTTCCCGGCTTGGCTGGGGAGCACCAGTGCCCACCCAGAGAGCAGCCAGCATTCCCTCGGGACTCAGGCAGCCGCGGTAGACAAGTGTCAGGGGTCTGGAAAAGGCGCAGTGCCTCTGTTTGAAGCCTGGGCAACAGTCTGCAAGGGTCTCCGCAGCAGGGCAGAGGATGAGCAGGACAGAACCTCCAGGCAGCCCCCAAGCCACCCTGACTGCCCCTGGGAGTCAAGGGAGGGGCTGAGCCACTCCAAGGGGGGGAGGAAGCCTTCACGCTGAGAGGAGTTTGTGGAGGGGGAGGTGGTGTTCTGGGAGGGGGAGGCTGAGTCACTGGGGCCCTAGGGCACCTGGCAGCACCTCCACGTTGGGCAGGAGGGGCCCTGGCAGCACGACACACCGGGGCAGGCCAGGCCAGCACCCTGTTCTCCACAGCCCCAGGCTCCAACACCCACAGACAACTGGCGGGCCAGGAGGTGGGGCCTGGGAGGTTCAGGCACGGGCAGGCGGGCAGGGGTCACTCCCTGTCAAAGGCGCCTGTCCCCACACTCCTCCCTACCTCGGCTTTACTTTCCGAGCTGGATGCCCTAGCCCCAGGGCTCTTTATGACTGAGGGCAGGGAACCGGGAGCTCATGGCCCCCCATTTCTGCTTGCTGGAGAGGGACGCTTTACAGCACCTGTTCCTGACCCGTCTTCACCCCTTGCGTGGAGCAGCTGGGCAGAGAACAGAGGCAGAGCCGGGGCACTGCTGACAAAAGGGGCTCCCCGGGCCCCCCACGCTTGAACCTGAAGCCCAGACCCTCGACTTCACTGCAGAAAAGCTTACGTCAGTTCCTCGGTGGCGGCGAATTTGTTGCCAGAGTCTTGTGGCATGAGACCTGCACAGGCCTGGGGCCCTGGCTGGGAGCCCCTCACTCCCAAAGCGTCCCGAGCGCAACCCAGAGGGCACTCCCCCTCAGGGCCCGCGGCCGACTCGAGGGGGGGCGCGCCTGGCAGCGCCCGGGGCCGGGCTGGCTCCCCCGCCCCCCGGAATGCCCCTCCAGCGCCACGCAACCCCCCAGCCCAGCCCGGCGCAGCCCAGGCCGACCCGGGAACAAAGCGGCAGGAGGAACCGGAGGGCACGGCGCCGGAGGTGCCGATGCGGAGGAAGGAAAGAGGGGGCGCGAGGAGGACGGAAGGCGCGGAGAGATGGAGGCGCCCGCCAATCCCGCAAAAAAAGTTAGTTTGTGCCCGCCCTTAAGGGTGCTGACCCCCGGCTCAGGTCCCGCAGTCTCACCTCGCCCGGCCGTCCCGCCGGGGGTCCGGCTGGCCCTGCTCGGTCCCTGGCACTCAGGACGTGACTCCCACGGCCCCCCACCCCCTTCTCCTTCTCCTTTTCCAAGGCCGGCTCGGCGCCTCCCGCAGGAAATCCCGCCCCTCCCCCGTCCCTCCCGCCGGATCGGGAGAGAAGGGACGGTCCGGGCCGCGCACTCGGGCTGTCAGTCAGCGCCTGCCGCCCCGCCCCCGCCGCGACAGGCCCCGCCCCCGCCGCGCCAGTCCTGACCAGGGGCGCGGGCCGGGTCCGCGCATGCGCGCAGGTGAAGCGGAGCTGGAGAGTGCGAGTTCGCGCTCTGAGTGCAGGTTGTGGAGCTGAGGTGACCTGGGGCTCTGAAGTCGAGAGCCAAGGGCGAGATGCCCTGGGTGTGGCTGGGTGGGAGAGAAGGCGTGATGTGAAGGGATGTGGCAACCAAGACCCGGGGACCCCACTTGGGTAACCCCCTTCCTCTCTGCCCTCCGCCTTTCCCGGGACTCCCGCGGCGATCGCCCGCGGCCAGAGCGGCCGACCCGCAGCCGCGGGCCGGAGCAATGCTGCCACCTAGCGGGCGGCGACGGGGCGGCTCGCGTGGCGGCGGGGGACCCCGGCCTGCAGGAGGTGCTGATGGAGGGTTGCGGTGGCGCTTCAGCACCGTCGTGGGCCGGACAGCGCCTCCCACCGCCGGCCCTCGGAACCCGTCCTCGGAGCCACTCCGAAGGGGCCCAGCCGAAGACCCTGACGGAACTCCGAACAGCCCGGGACCGCTCCTCACAGCCCCCGGGCGGCCCGAAGTTTGCAGAGCTGGAATTTGGGGGCCCTTCTTCTTCCTCCTTGCCCAGTCCGGGCGGCGGAGGGTACGGCCACACATTTGACTATTCATTCTACACTCACAGACGTCCGGTCCTCAACTTCTATGGGAGAGGTGCCCAGAGGAGGGCTGGGGACAGGAGGGGGAGCTCCTGCACGCCCAGAAATCTGCAAACGAAACTCCCAGCGCCCGGAATCGAGGCGCGCGTGACCGGCAGGCGCTAGGACCCAGGACGGCAGAAGGGCGGAGAGCCGGTGGGTGTGTCGGCGGACTTCGGGAGCGCAGGTCCGAGAGGCGGGCGCTAGGGCCGCGCGGATTCCGGCGGTGGGCGGGGCGTGGGCGGCGCGCGCGCAGCCGCAGACTGCAGCCAGATGGAGCCCGAACCCGAGCCGGCGGTCGTGGAGGTTCCGGCGGGGCGCGTGCTCAGGTGTGGCGCGGCCCCTGGGCGGCGTGGGCGGGGTCCGGAGGCAGGCCGGTGGCCTCGAAGCGCGGCGCTGACCCCGTGTCCCCTTCTCCCCCAGCGCCCGGGAGCTCCTCGCTGCCCGCTCGCGGCCCCAGAAGCTGCCCCAGCGCTCGCATGGCCCCAAGGACTTCCTCCCCGACGGCTCGGCGGCCCAGGCCGAGCGGCTGCGCCTGTGCCGGGAGGAGCTCTGGCAGCTGCTGGCCGAGGAGCGCGTGGAGCGCCTGTGAGAGGGGCGGGCCGGGCCGGGCCGGGCGGGGCGGGGGCGGGGCGGACGCACCCCGTGGACCTCTCCCGTAGACAGAGACGGACCCCCCCACTCCTCGCCAGGGGCAGCTTGGTGGCCGCCGAGTGGAGACCGGAAGAGGGTTCCGTGGAGCTGAAGTCTCCTGCGGTGAGCGGCGGGGCTCAGGGACAGGGGACCTGCTTTCTCCGTCCTCCTGTCGTCTGTGACACTTGCTCTGGGTCCCACACAGGGTAAATTCTGGCAGACCATGGGCTTTTCAGAGCAGGGCCGGCAGCGGCTTCACCCCGAAGAGGCACTGTATCTGCTGGAGTGTGTGAGTGGGGCCGTGGGGAAGGGGTCGGGGACCAAGGAACCAGAAGAACACGTTTTTATCGGAGAAAAAGCATTCACAAGCGTGTTTTCAGAGAACTTATAACTGGACTTCTAGGGCAGAAGACGATACCATGCAGGGAGCAAGGAGTCCAGTCCAAATTAGTGGTGCTGCCCCACTTTCCTGGTTGTTCATATTCTTGCTTGGATTCTGGGAGGTGGCGGGGGGAGATATCAGAGCTGGGAAGTGTCCCTCTTTGACTGTGACACTGCACAGAGTGCTGACAAGCTGAGCTTCTGGCTCCACTTCCAGGGCTCTATCCAGCTCTTCCACCAAGACCTGCCACTGTCCATCCAGGAAGCCTACCAGCTGCTGCTGACCGAGGACACCGTCACTTTGTTGCAGTACCAGGTATCTGCTGCCTCCTGCCCCTGACCAGAGGAGCCACCCATCCACTGAGTAAATGAGTATTAACAAGTACCTGTGAGGTTCCAGGCACAGTGTCACATGCTGGGGCAACAAGACAGATGAGGACTGTGCTCTTACCAGGCTTACTTTGTATTGGTGGCAATTGGAAAATAAGTAAACAAATGAACTGTTGACTTCACAGGGATCCCAGTGCTAAGTAGAAGGTAAGGTGGGGGAGGAGAAGTGGGAGAGATTGGGCTGTTGGTTCAAGTGAGAGGAGCTAGGGGCTTAGCCCAGGTTGGGGATGGGTGGAATTGCTGTCCATGAAAAGAAGTGGGTGAATCTCAGACATATTTTGGAGAAAGAATGGATAAGTCTGGAGTGTGGGGAGAGGTCAAGGCTAAGGACATAAACGTAGCATGGGTGGTATTTAAACCATGGGGCTATGTGGGAGTGCTGCCAGAGTAGAGGTCTGGGACTGTCCATCCCAAGTAGATTAGGGGCAATATAAGGACCAGAAATAAGCCAGGAGTGGTGACACATGCTGGTTATCCCAGCTACTTGGGAGGCTGAGGCAGGAGGATTACTTAAGTCCAGGAGTTTGAGACTGCAGTGAGCTATGATTGACCCACTGGACTTCCAGCCTGGACAACAGAGGGAGACCCCATCTCTAAAAAATAATAATAAACAGGATAAAAAACAGACCGAGGAGTGTCTGGTAATGCAGGAGAGGAACCAAAGTGGCACCATGGGAGCCAAGAGAAGATATTTCAGGGAGGAAGTGATCACCTGTAATGAAGGCTGCTGAGACATCAAGCAAGATGGGGAACACCCCATAATATGTCCCTCTGATGTGGATACAGGGACATAAGGATGAACTTGTGCCACTTTACCAGAGACTTTTCCTGCCTGTGTCTGTGGAGGTGTGAGGATGGGGACATGTCCACTACCTTCTGCCATCTTTTTGTCCAAATTGTAGTTAGGAGCTTCACTCTATCAGTTTTAGTATAAATATATTTGAATATTCTAGGGCATAGTTTTTTTGTTGTTGGTTCAACACTATCAGCTTTTGAGGATTTGCATTAAAGTCAAGAAATTGCTAAATGTCATTTGTGCCCAGAGTAAGGTAAGTGACAGGACAGGAATTGAGAGACTGAGATCTTACTCTGGGATGATGCTTATAGAGTGTGGTCCAGCCTGTCCCAGGGTTTGGAATCTGGAGGTGTACAGGAGGGGCATGGAGGGCCATGGGGAGGGGCTTGTGTCTGGATAAACTATTTGGTGTTTTCAAGAGTGGCCACCTGAGTTTCTGTTTCTTTTCTTTTGAGGTCTTCAGCCACCTGAAGAGACTGGGTTATGTGGTTCGACGATTCCAACCAAGGTAACGCCCTTTCCCTTTTCCCCTCCATCCGTTCTAGTCCTGGGACCTGGCTGACTAGTCCTATGTAGAGTGGTTACTCCCTAACTGGAACCCCTGGCTGGAGTGCAGCTCCCTGGACATGGACTGGGAGCCTCTGCTGGAAGTGTTCTCTCGAAAGCCATGTTGGGACGAATCCAGGCCATTGAACTTTATCCTGGGTAATCAAATCGAGACCTGTCTTCATGTAGTGACTGAGCACCTACAGCTCACAGAGAGCATTGAGATGCAGGACTGGATCAGTGCCTGCACTTAGTAGGTGTGCGGGCAGATTTGTTGAGTGCATGCATGCATGAAGGACCGAGTGAGGAATTTCCAATTGAGTAGGGTTTCACGTGTCTTATGCTAGGTTAGATGCCTTTTCCTTTATCACCTTGGTAATCCAGCATTGCTAAGAGCCACAGAGACCTTCAGACTTGGAGTGGAAACTGCTAGAGTCTTTGCAGTTACACAGTATGTCATGAAAGCTCTAAAACAGGCACAGCCTTTGTTTCCTGAAAGTAGAATGTATCCTAAGGAAATAATCACGAATGAGTGCAGGGGGTCACTCGTAGAACGATCCGCCATAATTATTGACCGCTTATTGGGTGCCAGGCCCGTACTCCATGCTGAGGAGTAAACTTGCCACCCTCATGGAGCTTGTGTCTTGCAGTTAGTGGGGAGCTTGCCCAAAGCACCATAGGTTGCAAAATCAGTGTACTTAGAAGCAACCTGTGACTTCACCAGTGGAGGCTTACCCACGCAAATTAGAGTTTATCCCTCAGAGCAGCTCTGACTGATGGAACTTTCTATAGTAACTAAAATGTTATTTGTCTGTGCTGTCCAATGTATGGAGCTTGAGCAACTGTGGGACTGAATTTTTAATTTTATTTAATTTTAATTGACTTAAATTTAACTTAAATAGCCACCTGTGGCTAGTGGCTACTGTATGGACCAGTGCAGTCACACCGCCATAAAAAATTCACAGTAGAGAAGGATGCCATAGTGTTAAGGGGCCGTGTCCACGATGCATTACTGAGAGAAAAGAAAGATCACGAAGCAATATGTTAGTACAATGCCATTTTTTCAGAAAAAAATATATGGAGAGAGATTAGTCTGCGTATGTATTTAAGAAACAAAAATGTTGACACGGTTACCCAAGGTTTTTCTTTTTTTTTGAGACAAAGTCTCACTCACCCCAGGTAGAGTGCAGTGGCATCATTATGGCTCACAGCAACCTCAAACTCCTGGGCTCAACTGATCCTCCTGCCTCAGCCTCCTGAATAGCTGGGACTTATGGGCACCCGCCACGATGCCTGGCTAATTTTTCTATTTTTAGTGGAGATTGGGTCTTGCTTTTGCTCAGGTTGGTCTCGAACTCATGAGCTAAAGCAATCCTCCCATCTTGGCCTCCCAGAGTGCTAGGATTACAGGCATGAGCCACTGTGCCGAGCAACAGTTTTTATTATTTCTTGTTATTTTATTATTTTATTTTTCTGTATTTTCCAAGTTTTCTGGTTCCACTGGTTTTTCTTGCCAATAATTAGTCATTTATTGCCAGCTCTTCAGGAGCCCCAACTCCAGTGAGCCTCTGTTGAAAGGTGCTGTTAGTAAGACCCAGAGGCCTGGGCACATGTGCCCTCCTCCTGCAGGTGTCTGGGGCCTTGGCCCTTGGGTGTGCCTTGGATCCTGGCCCTCTGACTGTCCCCTCGGCCCTGTCTCACTTATCTGACCAGAGCACCAGGCTGAGGAGGTGGGTCTGTTGCCCACCCGCTGTTCTTACCCCACAGCTGTGTCCTGTCCCCTTATGAGAGGCAGCTTAACCTGGATGGCAGCACCCAGTGCCTGGAGGATAGGGATGGCAAGAGGAAGAGGAGGGGCTCCAGCTCTCGGTAATGTTCCCGTCATGGCTACCCCCAGGGAGTGCTGGTGTCTGGGACCTTGGAGAATGCACAGGCTTAAGAGCGAGGCTTGCGTGGCTCCTGCGCAGGCTCAGGGAGATGTTTGCGTGGGATGCGTGCACCTCAGCAATCAGGAGCAGATGTGCTGCTTTTCCTCCCACTTCCCTCAGGTCCATTAATAAGAAGGCCAAGGCCCTGGAGAACTCCCTGCAACCAGAGAGTCTGGCAACTTCCAGCCCACCTCCCTGCCGATGCCCAGAAGAGAAACCCCAGCTTTTGGAGTCCCTGGGGCCCTGCCCTGGCCTGGCCAGGGAGGGTGCAGGGTGCAGCTGGGAGAGTGGCCAAGTAGGGAATGGAGTCCAGGGGGCTCGGAAGCTGCGCTGGAACTTTGAGCAGATCTCCTTCCCCAACATGGCTTCCGATAGCCGCCACACCCTCCTGCTTGCCCCAGCCCCAGAGCTGCTCCCGGCCAACGTGGCTGGGCGGGAGACAGACGCCGAGTCCTGGTGCCAGAAGCTGAACCAGCGGAAGGAGAAGCTATCCAGGCGGGAACAGGAGCAACAGGCAGAGGCCAGGCACTTCCAGGAGGACATAAATGCAGACCCTGAGGTGCGGCGCTGCTCCAGCTGGCAGGAGTACAAGGAGCTGCTGCAGAGGCGGCACCTGCAGAGGAGCCAGAACCTCCCCACACACCTGTGGGGCCAGCCTGTCACGCCCTTACTGAAGCCCGGCCAGGCAGCCTCTCCAGGTACCCCCTTAGCCTGCCACTGCCCCACTGGCCAGTGGCAGCTGAGGAATCACAAGACTTGGGAAGGGGCATGTGTGGACCAGGACTGGCTGAGGCTTAAGAAAGGTGTGGGAGGAGGGTGCTGTCCAATGGAGTGGAACCCACAAGGACAGTCAGTTGTCCAGGCAGCGGCCAGGACAGGGCCCATGTGGGAAGGTTTAGAGATGGTGAGTCAGTGTGCCAGGAGAGGTGAGGAGGGGTGAAAACTACAGCCGTGTCCTTATAAACAAGGTGCATGTGGATGGCTTTGCCCCCAACTAGCTGTGGTCCCCTCTTCTCCCAACCCTGTTAGCTGGAACCATCTCAAGCTAACAGGATCATTCCAGGGTCCCTTACCACATCTAGGAGATGCTATCTTGGCCAAATTAAAGGAAGGCTTACTGTCTGCACAGAGAACTAATAGGGTAAAAATAGTCTGAGTTAAATATATTAACAGATTCAGAATTACTTAAAATCTTCATGGGAACTTGGCAGATTGTAGCTAACTAGGTTGGGTTTGCCAGATTAGTTAAATTGGACTTCCAGATAAACAAGTAATTTTTCAGTATAAGTATGTTCCAAATATTGCATGGAACATACATATACTGAAAAAACTTGCTAAATCTGGCAATGCTAAACTAGGTGGCAGATTCAGAAGTGTCAAGGGAGTGTATAGATGCTTGCCTCTTCTTCCCAGCACCTTGTTTTCACTGTCCTTGTAGCCATGGTCCTTCAGCATATCTCTGTGCTGCAGACAACACACCTTGCCGATGGAGGTGCCCGGTAAGTTTCCAAGTAGCACGTCTCCCAGGGGTTGGCAGCTGAGATTTGGCTCCTGAAGTTGGGTGTGAGCTAGAGGATCATTCCAGAGACCTCAATCCACATGCCTAGCTCTGAGTGACAGCTAACATTCATATGTGTCTGGGGGAGAGGGAGAAATGATAGTCAGGTGGGTTTATTTCAAGGGTTTGGAGCCCCCTCCCTTGAGTGGAACCTCACAAGCTCAGTTGCCCTAGATGAGGTTGCTTCCTGGAACTGATGGAGAGGAAGGGTGGAGTAGAAAGGAAAGGTGGGGGAGGAGAGTTGGTATCCTGAGGTTTCTCACTCTGTTTTCAGACTGCTGGAAAGGTCTGAGGGCTTGGGAATCAGCTTTGATGTTTACCAGGCTGACGCTGTGGCCACCTTCCGAAAGAATAACCCTGGCAAACCTTATGCCCGGATGTGCATTAGTGGGTATGAAATGAGTAAGCACAGCCCCCCAATCCCTGGCTGCTGCCAGTTCTCCTGTGACTCTGGTGGACCTGCTCTCCACCCCAGCCAGTGTGCCAATCCCTGAGAGGAAGCTGAGGTCTAGAGAGGTTAAGTGAGCTCCAAAAGGCCACACAGCCAGTTGGCGCTATGAAACCCAAGTTCCCCAACCCATAGCTCCTCATTGCTGCCATTTTGGGGTACTCTCTCTCCTAGACCACTTTAGTCCCAGGCTTACCCAGCAGAAGGGATATGGATTGGAGGGATATACAGGCTAAGAGTGATGAGAACCTTGCTTTTCCTAGCCCATGCCCCGTCAAGGCTCATGCTCTCTTAGATAACCATCAGGGTCATGTGGTCTGCAGATAAGAGAGCCTAGGGATCAAAATTCTTGCACCCCCAACTCCTGTCTTAAAATCTCCCTTCTCTGGGAGTCTCAGAGGGTCTGGGGTCTCAGAGCTTATGGGTGAGCTATGGCCAGGTCTCATGCTAACCCTTCTCCCTGCAGATTTGATGAGCCTGTGCCAGACCTCTGCAGCCTCAAGCGGTTGTCCTACCAGAGCGGTGATGTTCCTCTGATCTTTGCCCTGGTGGATCATGGCGACATCTCCTTCTACAGCTTCAGGGACTTCACATTGCCCAGGGATCTGGAGCACTGACCACACAGCTCTGTGGGGGATGGAGCTTGCTCTGGGGAACCTGGACTGTCTGTTCTCAGGGACCACCTCAGCTGCCTCCTGTACCTGGACTCTGACCTGTAACTGCAGCAGCAAGTCTAGGCCTTGGCCCTGGGTGTCTCATACTTGCAAGAAAGTCAAACTGTGCTCCAAGCCTTCCCTGGCCACTGCAGCACTTCCAAGCCCGGGGCCTGAGATTGCTGCCTTGCAGTGACTCCTTTGGAACTCAGGACTAGATTTTAGAGACCCAGGAAGTGGGGCAGAAGAGAGGACTCTGTGCCTTTAACGAGAGGGTGCCTGCTTCGTGCCATAAAGCCAAAGCCATTAAAAATAGATCTCTGTTCTGCTGTGGCTGGATATACTGGACAACCCCCCTACCCCTCCATCCCGTGATCGGTGGAACTTTCCCCCTGTCGCTCATGCGACCTTTGCCCACTCACAGGGAGAACCAGTTTCTCTGGTGCAGGACCAAAGAGGGAAGCCTGCTGGTGGACAGGAAAGGGACCTGGAACCTTTCCAACCTTTCCAGGGTTCCTGCAGGGTACTCTGGAAGGAGGCTGGTGCTCTGTCGGAGGAGGCTGGCCCTCTTCCCTGAGTGCAGCTGGGTCAGAGTAGAAGGGTGGCCCAGAGGTCCCTGTCGGTGTGGCTTGAACCCAAGCAGCTATCCAGTGGACAGATCAGGTCGGTTCTCGCCCCAGGCCTCCACACCCCTTCCGTTCTTGCCTCTTGTCACTCCAACCCCCTCCCTCGCTGGTGCTAAAAACTTAGGCAGTTGTTGCTGTCCCTCAGGGCCTCGGGCCCTGCCTGTCACTGCAGTGGACATGGAGGAGGTGGGTCCCGCCCCGAGGGAAGGCGTCTCGCCACGACGCCCGTCCCCAACCTGGGACCTGAAACCTGGCCCTGCATCCACAGGATCCACAGGTCGTCGTCTCTGGGCTGAGCGCTCTTGGGAGGAGCTGGCCCGGCTACGCCCCTCCCTCGGCAGTTCGGGGGAGTGGTGGGAGGGACGGCTCGCCTCTGGAGTCCGGCCTGGGAGGCGGCCTGGGGCAGCGGCGCGTTCCGGGAACTATTTCCGCCTCCGGGAGGCGGCGGGACACTGGGCGCGGCGCGCCGTCCTGCGGCCAGGTGCGCGCAGGTGAGGCCCGGGGCGGGCCAGCAGCGCCTCTCGCATATTCATGAAGGTCACGGTCCCGCCCCCGCGCTGCCGGGGGCCGCGGATTGGCCGGGGTGCGGCCCCCGCCCCCGAGGGCGCCCTCGCTGCGCCCCGGCCCCGTCGGCGCAGGGCCGGGGCGGGGCCAGGCCGGGGGCGGGGCTCGGGGATCTGCGGCCGGGCCGGCTCGCCCTTTATGTAAATAGCGCGACTCCGCCCCGGCTCGCCGCGCCGGAGGTGAGCAGGAAGGAGACCGCGGCCCAGCAGCCCGTGGGCCGGCGGCGGAACGAGCGGGGCAGGCGGCGGGCGGCGAGGGACGGCAAGGCCTCGGGCGGGGGCCAGCCTGGGAGTCCAGGTGAGGTGCGGGCCGGACTCACCTAGCCGGGCCCGCCCCCTTGGGGCGCCCGCCACTCGGGGCGGGGAGGCAGGGAGGGCAGAGACCCCTGGGCTTCCTGGCCCGGGTGGGGAGCGCTGCGCCCAGGTCCGCCCACCTCGCCCTAGTCCCCGTCACTCGCCACCTCCGAGAGAAAGACACCTGTAGAAAGTGCCGCTGGGAACTTACTTCTCTCGGCCCGACCCGCCCGCGATTATCGAACTTGGGTTTGGGGTTTGCACAATAGTGTTGGCTTGGGGAACAGGAGAACAGGTGCCTGGTCCGGCTGGGTGCGGGGGCTCCGTGGGCGCAGACTGGAGTCCCGGGGCCCACGTGCAAGGCGGGGGAGTCCGCCGGGGAGTCCGGCGACGCGCGTCTCCGCTGACCCCTCTCCGCGAGCGGCGGCCGGAGCGCGTTACGCCGGCGGCTTAGCCCCTGTGCCTGCCATCTGGGCTCCCTCCCTGCCGGCCCTTTGTGCCTCCTAATCCCCGGACACAGGAAGCCCGCGGGAGGGACTTAGGTCGGGGTCGGCTTTGGACACCTTTAGGCGACGGTGCTGAGACCCAGTCTGTTTTCCACGCTGACGGGTGGGGTTCGCGCTGTGGGACTTGGTGAAAATTGGAAGATTCTGTCTTGCCGAAGAAAGTGTGTATTGGTTTGCTCTGGCTGGACGGTTGGTGGACACACTGGGCCTTGGCTGTGGGGAGAACTGACTGTAACCAGGGGAGCTGCGGTGTGGCCCTTTGAGGCTCTCACCTGAGACAGGTGAGCTTTGGGTGAGGAGGGCGGGGCTTAGACTCCGCACCTCTTCCCATGGGAATTCGTAAGCCAATGGAGGCCGCCTTAACTCTGGTTCCAGAGGACCCTCTGCGGGAGTTTGTAACTCTAGGAGCTGTCAGGCTGCAGAGACCTGAGCCGTGAGCAGGGCAGGGAGAGAACCCAGGTGGGAAGAGCAGAGCTGCCACAGAAGAGCCGTGGCCCAGCCCAGGAGAAGCCAAGCCCAGAAGTGGCTTTTGAGGAAGACAGTCCGGGTCTGTGTGAGCAGAGGCAGGGGAAGGATCGTGGCAGAGGTGGTTCACCTTCTTTATTTTATGGGCAGGGAATTTGGGGTTAGTTCCTGCAAGTGATCTCCCCACAGTCCTTGCTCGTGGCAGTCAGTACTCAAACCCAGTTCCTGGGGCTCTGACCAGAGCTTGCTCATCTCTGAAGTTAGACTGGGCCATTCTCTGTGTCCCTGCCCCCCACCCCACCCCCACAGGGATTCCAGAGTCTGTGGTCACTCTACATCCCTACTCTTCCTTGAGGCAATTGAGTATCCCCTTTGGTGGCAGATTAATATAATTTTAATGATATTAAAAGAATAGTAATACAACAGCACTAAAAGGCAAAAAAAAAAAAGGTAATAATTCCAGGTGACCTCTGTTCATTTAAAAAACAGAAAAGGTAACAGGAGGAAGGGTGTGGTGGCTCATGCCTATAATCCTAGTACTTTAGGAGGCCAAGGTCAGAGGATCTCACTTGAAGTCAGGAGTTTGAGACCAGTCTGGGCAGCATAGCAAGACCCTGTCTCTACAAAAAAATAAATAAATAAATAGAAAAATCAGCTGGCTGTGGTGGAGTACACCTGTAGTCCCAGCTACTCTGGAGGCTGAGGCAGGAGGATCACTTAAGCCCAGGAGTTTGAGGCTGCAGTGAGCTGTGATGACACCACTGCACTCTAGCCTGAGCAACAGAGTAAGACACTGTCTTGAAAAGAAAAGCCAGTAGGAGCCCTTGGTGAGAAAAATGAAACACCTTAGAAAGTGTAAAATAAGAGGGAAAACATTCTGCATCTTGCCAGTCTTTTTCTTCAAACATAATGGTTATTAAAATTTTGGGTGCCTCCTCAGACATTAGGTGCAGTTTTGACTTGTGCCTTGCTGAGTTTTTGCAGTGTGACCTTAGTTTGGTCACTTACACGTGCCGAGCCTTGTTATTACCGATGTTGAGAGGATGAAAAGATGCCATGAGCACAGCACCTGGTGAGGGTGAACTCCTCATCTTGCCCCCCTACCCCTTTGTGGACACACCTGGGCCTTTCGGAAGAGTCTGATGGTTTGAAGGGATTTGGCTTCTCTGACTGGCAGTCAGCTGAGGAGTTATGATTTTGTGATCTCTTAAAATTTCGGGAGGTCAGAAGCTTTTCAGCGAGGACGTTCCTCAAGAGGAGGGGCAGAGGTAGAGTCTGTGAGCTCTCCTAAACTGCTGCTGTGATCCAGTGGCCCTTGGGAGAACCAGAAGTGAGGGCTGGCCCCCAGACCCCAGCTGGGGTCCTTTCCTGGGGTGGGGGCGGCCGAGGGTGCGGAGTATGCTCTGCCTTCTGCTCTGGCTGGGCTGTGCTCGCTGCGTACACTCTCCACACTCTGTTGGGGGGCAGCATGCGTTCCTGGGCTGCTCTGTTGTCATGAAGGAGATTTTCTGGGAAGTCCATAGTGCCCCCTTTCAACCTCACTTGGGGAGGGCGTGACCTATCCTGCCAGGACTTCCTGGCCCCAGGACCCTGCCTTCAGGAGAGAAAGTGGCGCATGGAGCCTCTGCCGGGACCTACCCGTTGTGCTTCCCCGACAAGAGCCTCCATGAGCCATCTGGGGAGGCTGAGCTTCCTGGGGGCGTTATTCAGCGTTCCTGGTCTTCACAGATGAGTCAAAGCTGCTGTTGAGACACCTGAGTTGGAGGCCAGGTCGGAAGCCCAGGAGGCCAATATGCTGTCTCCTGGGTTGGCTGCTTTGAGCACACTGGCTGCCTGGACTCCTTTGTCCTCAGTCCTCAGCTCTGAGAGGTCCTTTTATCTCACTCAGGCCATATCACTCTCAGGGCTCCTCCTGGGTGGAGGCACGCCGGGTCTGCTTGGCAACATTGTTTTCCTCTGCCTGGAGCAGTCTGCAGAAAGAAATGGGTAGGGGGCAGGAGATGGGCATTTATTTCCCAGTGGGGTCACCAGCACTGTTTGCCCACCCCAGCCCTGGCTGCCTGGGGATTCCAAGGAGACCCTCCTTGTGCTGTGCCCTGTGGCCCAGCACAGGTCCAGGTCCCTTTGGGGTAGGCTGCCCCAGCCCTGCCTCTCAGAGGAAACTGGTACTTTGAAGAGTCACCCCACTTTTCCCCTTCCCGGGAACCGCAGTGAATTCTTGAGCTAGGAGAGGCTCCTCTGGGTGTGGGGACAGGGAAACTGCTCTGTACTTGACTCTTCCCTTCAGGAATTCGGCAGAGACCGGAGCCTTCTCTCATGACACCTGACTTGTTCCCAGTGGTTTGACGACAGGGACATGTGGGCACAAGACTATATGACTCTAGTAAATAGTATTAATATTTAATAACATTATTCTGGAATAATTCTTGGCAAGGAGCTGGGTGTCCTAGAGCCTTGGTCTGAGGCAGGACCCACAGGGGTGTCCCCAGCAAGATGCCAGGTTGGGTGATGTCCACATAGCCCTGGCCTTGGGCAGAGACTTGAGAACAGGGCAGGGAAGTTCCCTGAGGTCGCCGTGGGGCCCCACCTCAGTGTTCTTTGAGGTCAGTGATTGTTGAAGATTTTGGCTAATTAATTCCTAGTTAGTCCTAACTGTTCATTCATTCATTCAACAAATGTTTATTGGTGCCTCTTGTGTGCCCAGCATGGTTCTAGACACTAAGTGCAATCCTTAAACAAAGCAGAGTTCCTCTGCTATCATGGAACTTTCTTTCTAAAGGGTAGGAGGCCTGAGTGACAAAAAGTAGGGCTAGGTAACACACGATGTGTTAAAAGGTGGTACAAGCCTTAGAGTTAAGAACTAGAGCAGGGACT